CTTCCCTCCCCCCTGGCCATGCTCATGTCCCTCGGCCAACGCTCGCACGGGCGAACGGCCACTTCAGATCGTCAAAGGGGCCGGCAAATGTGGCGTCAGAGTCAGAACCGACTCGCCCGAAAATGGCCTAAAGCCTGCCGGCAAGGGGCGCGGCGTTCGGACCACCCGCTCTGCGGCTTTCGCCCAACGCTGGAAGACCACAACTGAAGATTGGGGGGGATGGGGGGTGAGGCAAGACTTCGGGCGTTGCGTACAGGGGGGCAATAAGCTGGTGGGTGAAGAAAGGTACACCTTTCGTGCACCTTCGGGCCCCCCCCGGGAGCCCATTTCAGGCCCCGTTCGTGCGAACCTCGATTGATCCCCCACCATCCCTCGCCCCACCATTACGAAACGCCCGAGAAGGGCAACGGAAACTCCCAACTCCGGACATCGGCTTCGGCGAATCGGCTTCGGTTTGTGTCGTGCGCACGTGCGTGCGGGGCGAAGCGAAGCTGCGCGAGGGCGATACCGATCCTGCTCTGGCTGGGGCCTGGTCGCACCAAAATGAATCGCGCCAGCAGGAGCATGCCACAAATTGTGCTGCGGCTGTTCCGTGGCTGCTGTCTCGTAGCGCGCCGGGCATTGTCCTGCGTTTGTCCTGCGGTTGTCCCATGGTCGTCCCACGGTTGTCCTGTGGTTGTCCGGGGGTTGTCCCAAAGATGTCCAGTGGTTGTCCCGTGGTTATCCCGTGGATGTCCTCCCGTGGTTGTCCCGTGGATGTCCCGTGGTTGTCCCGTGGTTGTCCCGTGGTTGTCCCGTGGCTGTCCAGTGGTTGTCGCGGGGTTTTCCTGCGTTTCTCCCGTTTGAAAATAAAGAGGCAAACCCGTAGATTGATCGTGATACGGACCGATCGATTGATACGGAAATCGGTCGATGGATACAGCGGTCCAAGGACTGCAGCCTGTACTAGAAGCCTGTACTAGAAACTGTAGTAGGAACTGATGTATGGACGGTCGTGCGAGCTGGTAAGACATGTTGTAAGGGTTGCGGTCGGGGCTATATGATGAGTTGTAGAAGGAACAGTTTTGAGGGAACTCTACGACTGGCTGTAGTAGGAGCTCTCGTAGGGCCACTGCGAAGACCGGTGGTATGAAAGCGACCGCAAGAGCTGCAGTAGAAGCTGCACGACTGGCTGTATGACAGGAAATGACGGAAGCTGTGCTCGTGTGTGCTATGGGATTGCAGTATGAGCTGCGTTGATATATGCCACACACGTCCCGGTGGAAACTGTAAGGCATGGCGCGTTGCTGGCGGCACTGGAGCTGCATTCGATTCTGCACTGGGAGATGCGTTGCGACCTGTATTGGGGGGTGCTCTGCTATTTGCAGCTGCGACAAGAACTGGACTGGGATACGTAGTAGGAGAGGCGAAGCAAACGCCATGACAGAAATTGCGACAGGAACTGCAATGAAACTTGCACTCGTGAGTGCAGTGGGAACTGTTGTGAGAGGAACTGTAGATGGTCTTTTGGAAACTTGGCCTGGGATGTGTAGTCGGAACTGTCGCGGCGACTGTCGCAGGAAGTGCGCTCCTGGCTGCAGCAGGAACTGCTGCGAGACGCGCGAGACATCTGCAATGTCCTGAAATGGACGGAACTATGGGAATTGTGTTTAGATCTGCTGCGTGAACTGCGGCAACAGGGCTGTGGGAGGTGCAGACTGGCTGTAGCACGAACGCGAATATGTGATCAAAGATGGGCTCATCTGAGAATTGCACTTCCGGCAACAGTACAATCCGTAGCAGGGCCCGTGGTCAATTCGGATGGAAGACTTGTAGTGGTAGTAGCTGCGGGGGGGCTATGCGACAGGCTGCAGTCGGAGTGGGCGTTTCCTGGGGAACTGTACTTGAGGCTGTGATCGCATATGCCGTAGACTCAGTAAAGGGAACTTCCGCAGAAACTCTACTGTTCGATGTGCTGGGAACTGCCATGACAGCTGCACTCGGACACGTACTTAGTAGGAGGTGTAGTATCAACTTGCGCAGGACCAGCGGTGTCTTGTAGCGGCACCTGTAGTAGTTGTTCGGTTAGGATATGCAGTGGGACCTCGAATGGGAACTGTAGAAACAGCAGGCGTCGGGAGAAGGGCGATCGCGCCAGAAAACCTATCTGCATATGCCCACCCCCAGGCGGACGGCGACCGCGCTATGAGTCGGGGCGCCCCCCGGAGACGCGCGCCCCTCAAGGGCAGCGCGCAGCGAGGCGGAAGGTAAAGCAGAGCTGCGCGGGCGCTGCCACCGCCTGCGCCGTCGCGCGCCCGCCCCCGTTACGACGCGCGGACGCGCGCGGCGGAAGTAGGCACAATATGGGAACTCGACGACAAGCACCCTGAAGGCTTAATTGTCCAGAGGGCGTCCAAAGGCGGAACGCCGACGGGGCGAGACAGGGGCGAAAGAAAGAAGCAACATCGCAGAGAGACCATTCAGAGAGAGGTGGTCGTAGAAAAACGTCACGTGTGCACCCATGGGCAGACGGATGGCTTGCGCGCATCTTGCGTGGGAGAAGAACAACATGTGCACCTGGCAACGACGACCGGGACGGATGGCAAGCGCGTGAACATGAGAGAAGGAAAATGTCGACGTGCACCCGTGGGGGGGCGGGGCTCTTCCCATTCAACCGGAGGGGCGCGTTCCAATGGGGAAATGACATGCGCCGCAAGCGCGGGCCGATTAGCGGGAACAACGTAAACGCAGCGAGCTCGACGATTGGGTTCCGCCGGGCTCAGTTGCCCTGATCGGGGGCGGGAGCGCCGGAAGCGCCGCCGCCCCCCCGACGCGAGACGACGCGGAAAGGAGGGGGAACGTTGGAGGGAGAGAGAGGAAGGATGAGTAGACCTCGCGATCAACGGTCGGGCGCCCCGAAGGGCGCGAGCCGTCGCGCGGGTCGAATGTTGGCCGCCTTGAGCGCGCCCTACCTGCTCTTGTCAAGGCGTGCTATTTGCAGGGATGTGACCCCCCCTGCTAGAAGTTTCCGCAGGGCTGCGACGCCCCCGCTAGAGGTTGCTGCAGGGCTGCGACCCCCCGCTAACGAGGTTCCATGCCTGACAGGGGAAGAAAAGGAGACAAAAAGGAAGGAGTAGACCCAACCTCAGGGAGGTGCAGGGAGGAGGCCCCCGAAACCCCCGGATGCTGCGGGGCTGGGCGAGGGAGGAAGACTCGGGGGGGCGGGGGACCCCCCCCCCCGATGGGAGCCGCCCGCGCCCATGACACGCAATGAGAAGAGGAATGAAAAGAGAAACCTCACTTCTGCGCGCGACTTACAGCCAACGACAACCTTCGTCTACACAACAAGTCAAGAGGACACGGGTCCGCAGCGAGCGCCTCAAAAGGCTCCTGCTCTAAATCGTGGAGTCTTCTGCGCGTGCAGAAGTTGGCCCATGCTTGCCGGGCGACTTGCGCCGGGCGACTTGCGCGCGGTCCAAGCGGGCAAGGGGGTCCTCCACCCGTGCCTTTTTCAGCGCCCCTGATCATAGAGTATTTTATTTTTTTTCGAACCTGGGAGAGGCGACGCGTGCGTTCTACATGGGGTCCGCCGCCTGTGGGGGCGAAACCGTAACCCGAAGTCGGGTAGCCAGCTGGTCAGTCTGGACCCACGCATCATGCAACTCCGCCAGGGCGTGGGAATTGCGCAGAACGATCACGGGAATTCTCTCCTGCAAGCAATGCCCGCGCGCGTCAGATGCGTCGCGACGTCAAGCGATGGCCTGTTCGGCAATGCGCAGCATTCCGCACGACACGCTCCACAATGAATGGGGTATGGTAACAAAGCGCACATGCAGCAGCGAAGAAAAGAGACGGCACGTGAGGGATGGATACGCGGATGGGGGGCAAAGAAGCGATATATGGTTAGAAGGAGCAAAATGACAATGGATGAGTAGCGAACACAAAAAGCTTTGACAAGTGGGGTGCAATCGAAATATCTCTTCCACGCAGGAAACGTTGAAGGTCGGCGCGTTGACCTATGCGGGTGTTGCCACCGACGCAAATCGGGGAGCTGCCCACGTATGCGACTTCAGCAATTTAGTTTCCTACTGGGGCTGCCGATGACGGTCACATGGCCCACAGGGCAAAACAAAAGCGGCTGATAACCTGAGAGAAAGATGGTCGTACCAGAAAACCTATCTGCATATGCCCACCCCCTGAGGGATTGCGCCCGCACCAGAGTTGGGATGCCCTCGCAAAGACGCGTACGTTTGACGGGCAGCGTATACCGAAGTGAGAGGTCGAGTTACGCAGGTGTTGCCACTGGCCAAGCCTGCAAACTCGTACACAGGTGTTAAAGCTGATAAAACCTGTGCAGGGTGCTGGCTTGCTGGCTGCAGTCTGCATGTTTGAAAAAGGCTTTCGTGGGAGCTGTGCTAGTATGGAAGGTGCAGTGCGAGAAGTAGCAAGAGCTGTCGAAATAACTTGTGGAGGAATTATAACCAGAACCGTGCTGCTGTCCGCAGTGGGATGCGTAGAGCTGCGTCGCACGAGCTAGACGCGCGGAGGTACGACCCAGACTCACTGCAAGAGACGTGGGCGTTCAAGGACAAGAGGTTACATGCTTACACACATACGTCTACACAAGTGTGTATACATACTTAAAGTACTACACTGGTATACTTCTATACATGTAAGCTTATATTTACATACGCATGTATATCTCGTGAATCAGGTCCGACGCCAATTGCGAACCGAAACCTGCACCCATCCCCCCAAACCTCCTTGTCACCCGGAGGGCGCTCGAACAGGTAGTCGTGGAGAAGTTTCGCCACATGGGGAACAACGCTGGAGCCGATCACCAGACAGAGCCAGCAGCTCAGCGAGGGTGCAAGTATGCCCCCCTGGTCGAGACACTGACATGACGCACACTCCGCCCGAGGTCCTGGCCGTGGCGCTCGGCCCTGCACGTGCACGGGCCTGAATTTTCAACCTGCCGACGGTGGCCCCTCGCCTGGGGGGGTGCAGGGCAGATCCGGCTCCTCGGCGAAGGTGGCGAACAGCGTACGCAGGCGGGCCAGGAGCGCCTGCAGGGAGGACGGGTGCGTGAATGAGGGATTGGGCATGGCTGCTTTGTGTGAATATCTGTACATATGCATGGTTCAGTTCACGCGCTGCTTTTATCAACGAGCAGATGCAATTCTGTATGTATGTATGTACGTATGTGTATGCAAATCTGTAAACAGGCATGTATGCATGCATGCATTCATGTATGCATGTATGTATGTATGTGCGTAGATATGGAATCATGTATGTATGTCGGTCTGTCTGTATGTATGTGTGTATGTGTATATGTGTATTATGTATATAAATGTATGTATGTATGTATGTATGCATGTATGTATATATATATATATATATATATATATAGATTCCCCTTCGTATATTTTTACAAGCCTGGGCGGGGGGACCCCTCCCCAAATCCGGACTCCCGGGATCTGGGGCTTTGGGGCCCTCCGGACGGGCCTCGAAGCGGCCGCCCGGGTCTCGCAGGGCGTTTTGTTAAGCCTCCCCGGCACACCTAGGGCGATCAGGGAGGTCATCGGAGACGTCCCAGAGACCACCAAGACAGCACAAGAGCGCTCCAAGAGTGACCGACGTGACCTCAAGATGGCCCAAGAGGCCTCCAGAACGGCCCCAAAAACCTTAAAAAGCCTCCAAGAGCACTCCCAAAAAGGCCCCAAGAGGCAACAATCATTGATTTCCTGCGGGTTTCTCGAGAATTTTGGGGTACTCCTCTTTTCGGCTTCCCGACGCTCCAATACAGCAGTCTTCTGGGCGTCCGAAGCCGCCTGGGAGGCTCCAAAATCGCCCCACAACCATCCGAAAAGGCTTCCAGGCAGTCCAAGAGAGCCCCAAAACGGCACAACAGGGGCCAAGGATGGTCCTAGGAGAGCCCCATGGCGGCCCAAGACGGCCCCAAGACACCCCCCGAAGCATTCCAAATCGTGACCCGGTCGTTCAGGGAGACCGCGGTTGGAGGCAGGGTGGCCCGAGGAAGCCCCCAGAACCTCCAGAACACGCCCAGGAGGCCTCAAGAAGGCCTTAAGAAACCCTGCAACTTTTGTGAGGCCCCCAAAGGCTCTCCAAGGAGGAGCCTCCGCAAAAAGAGCTGAATCAGATAGGGAAACTGCGCAGGGTATGGCGAGAACGATGAAAAATAAGCATGGAGGAAGGATAACGAATAACATCACTTTAGCGGCGATGCTGGAAAAGGCAGCAAGGAATTATCGCTAAATTGTCGGCTTGAACTTCCTGCAATTGCGCCTGCATACCAAACTTCAAAGTCCAAGGTGCAAGGCGCAACGCGCCACTGCAGTCGTGTATGTGTATATATATACATATCGATACATATATATATATATATCGATATACCTATATATAAAAATATCTGTATGTATGTATGTATGTATGTATGTATGTATGTATGTATGTAGACATGTCTATATGTACATATAGGTACCTGCACATGGATCGTGATTGTTGCATCTGAGCCTCCACAACCAATACTTGCACGTCTAGGTTTCTTGCTTATGGTGCCTCAAGCCATTGGTTGGGTGTGCCAAGCTTTCGGCCTGTGCCCTGTTGGTGGGCGCCTTGTGGGCGCCTCGTATTGGGTGGGCGTGCGGAGGTTTGGGCTGGAGCCCACCCGTAGGCGCCTCTTGGGCGCCTCGTGCGCTGGATGGGTGTGCCGGGGTTCGCCTGGAGCCCGGCCGTGGGCGCCTCATGCGCTCGGTGGGGTTGCCGAGGTTTTGCTGAGTGTCCGCCCGTGGGCGCCTCGTGGGCGCCTCGTGCGCTGAGCGGCCGTGTAGATGGCACTGCGCAGCTTTTACCACAGATCTTGCACCGCATGGTTTACACCACATGACTTACAACACATAACTTACACCGCGCAACTTGCCCCACATAGATTGCACTGCGTAGCTTGCAACAAGTAGATTCCACATCATGCTTGCATCACGTAACTTGCACACCGTACCTGACATCGCATACCTTGCACATCATCATTCAACATATGTTGTGTTTCATGAGGCTTGGCTGGCTCGCCTTGTTGCCTCCCATGGGCTTCTGAGACTCCCAGGTGGCCCCAATCTTGCCAAGAGAAGCCCAGAACGAGCATCCAAATAGCTCCGAAAAGCATGAGGATGGCCGCAGAAGGCTCCAAGAGGGCCACACGTGTGCCCAAGACCAGCACCAAAGCGGGACTCCAGGGGTGGCAGGCCCAACAGAAATCGATAGAGGCCGCAAGGCAACACCACTGTGGCCCAGGATTCCCAAACCATGCAAAGACGCTAGCTTTTCAGATCTTAGCTCTCTCGTCGTTGTGTTTCCAATGGGCTTGATGCCTCAGAGCATGGCTCCGAGATCGCCCAAGATAGCTCGTCAAGCGGAGCCCCGAAGGGCTCCCAAAGGGCTCCCCAGGCCTCCAAGATCGCCCCAAGATCGCGCCAAGAGGGCCCACGATGCGGGCAAGATAGCCCAATAACAACCCCCGAACTGGGATCCATGGAGGCATGCCCAAAGATGGCTGGAACACAGCTGTCAGGGGCCCCCAGCATGGTCCCACGACGGCCCGAGAGAACCAAGGCAGCTCCCAATAGGCCCAAAGTCCTTCTATGTTGTGTTTGAATGGTTTAGTTGTTTTGCTTGGTGCCCCCCAAGATGGATCCAGCATTGCCCAATCTAGCTCCAAGTGGAGCCCAGCCTAACTCCCAGATGTCGTCACAGCCTCCCGAAAGCATGTCAGCAGCGCCCAGAGAGGAGTCCAAGATTGGCCCATGAGGGCCCAAGACGACCCCAAAGACCCAAGAAGCCCTTGGGAGGCCCCCTAAGAAGCCCCCAGGCACCCCGAATAAACGTGCTCTGAACGTCTCTATCTTTGTGATGATTGCTGCCCTCTTGTTGTTTGAACAACTTGGGTGGGGACGTTGTCCATTGAGTCTCACAGTCAATGTGCCCAACGATAGTGACTGATTCCCCTCTGCCGAGATTCACACGACTGCCGATTCAGGGAAATCACCGCAACCACCGCCCGACACCCCCCAAATCACCACGAGCACACTGTCAGATGGCAACATTGACACCACCAGGTGGCAATATTGATAACATGGGCTGGCAACGCAGATACAGCATAGGCTCTTAAGGTATACCACATGAGATATAACATCCAGTCGCGCGTTTACCTGGATCTACCAGAATACCTGCGGGCACGGTCTGCGAGCATTCGTGCACGAGCGGCGATCTTCCATGGTTCTCGCCGACTGGATTCAATATTGGCTCGACCAAGCGGTAAGACTTGACATGTGCGCCAGGAGACTTTAATCAAATGGCGGAAGCTCGGAAACGCAAGCTCGTGATTCAAGGTTTTGAGAAGGCAAAACATACCTTCAAACAAATTTAGTCGTGTGCAAAGAAGCCACGGTTGGGACGGCTCAGCTCAAACACTCTGACGTTGGAAGCCCGCAGCGAACAAAAACGTGGGGCGGCATCGCTATAATGGCACTCGTGCCCGTGTGCCTCATGCGCATGTGCCTCTTGCCAAATCTCACCGAATAGCGGCTGTCGCTGACACGAAAACAGAAGCTCACTCTGATACGAACTTGCTGACGCCAAGGATACGTGGGACCGGCTGCGCACAGTAGTCAACATCGACCCTCGAATCGAGTAATTAGGACCCGCGAGTGTGCGCCTCTTTGTCTTGGTGTGCCAATGACTCGGAGATGTGCTCCGTCCAGGCAAACATCGAGAAGATTTCACCGGGCCCCAGGATGGCCGCAGATGGCCCCGCGAAGCCCATCCTGGCGGCCCCAGGAGGAGTCCACGAGACGGACCAAGCCCAAGCACGCAGAGCGGGCATGAACCAGACGGGCCCCGAGAGAAACGGCTCCTGGACCCCCAGGGAACCTCCCCCAGGAGTGAGTGGGGCTTGTAGCAAGATGATGATTTTTATCTTGAGCACAAATGGGCTACGTACAGTCGAACGACATGCATTCTCCCAACATGCCGCGGGGTGAAATTGCTACAGTCCACTTACCCCTGAAAATCAAACAAGGGGGCCAGCTCTTCAGCCCGAGGCGGCCTCTCACGGCCCCTGGGCCCCCTGAGGGCCCCAGGACTATGCAGAAGGCGGACCCAGACCCCAGAAGTCGCGATTGTTTCGCAGCGTCGACTCCCAGATGTCGGGACACCTTCCCCCGGAATCGGATTTTCGTCCTGACCCGGACGCCGAAAATACAGGCAAGGCTCCCGTCGTGATTTTTTTTCTCGCACCGCGAGGGGGTCTGGGGGAACACCGCAGGACTGGCTTCCCCCAGGACCCGCCGGCTTCATGGCGAGGACGGCGCGGACCTCCTCCAACAAGTCGGGCGTGCGCCCCGACGGGGTGGCGTAAAAAGCCTGGAGAGCGAGGACACGCACGCCTGCCGTGCGCCTATTGTGGACCCGCGGGCGGCAGCTTGGGCACCGCTCGGGGCCCCTGTGGGGCCACGTTCCTGGTATCCCAGACCTCCTTGCGTTGTGAAAAAAAACACCACGGCAAGTTTTTTATATTTTCGGCCTCCTGGGGCCCTTGCCGGGCCGCGGGACCGTCAAAAACGACGCAGGATGAAAAACAGGTCCCCGGGAAGGGGTCCAGGCTTCTGGGGGTCACGTCATGACAAAAATCACGACGTCGGGGGTCTGGGGTCCTCGTTGCAGAAGGAGAAACATAAATGTTTGGCGTTCCGCGCGGATTTCTTGGATATGCGCTGAGACTCCCCTCCCTGGCGCGCGGAGCGCGCCAAGGTTGGTGTCGGAGGCGCTGCCAGGGGGGCCCAGCGCGGATCCAAGAAAGCCGCGCGGAGCCCCAACAATTTATGTTTATGTTTTTTGTGTTGTTGATTTTCTTCTTCTTCTCCGAGAAACGTGGTGGGCCAGAACCGGGGCGCGACATGCTGAGCCGAAGATCATGACTGTGTTGCCCCAGGACGGATGGCAACGGGAGGCCCCGACCACTTCCGGGGGACCAAGCGTTCGCCGAGGACCCACTTTTGACAGTCACGGGGCCCGAAAAAGGACCAAGGCCAAGGAAGCTGAAATGAACAAAAACGTGTTGGATTGAAAAAGTCAGTTCGTCGGAGATCTGGGTTTCTTGCCCCACCGTTGTCTTAGCATCCAGCGCCTCGATTTTTTCGAGACAGGGGCCCCCGACCTCTCGACTACTCCTCCGTGACTGGTCTGTCATCCCGAATCGTTTTTTGCCGGCCCCGAGGCCCGGCAAAGGCTCCGAGAGGCCGAAAACTATGGAAATCATTCGTCTTCCCAGAGATCCGATGTTTTTTCGGGTGGGGTTCTTCCAGTTCGCGGTACCTGGAACTCCCGGCCCCTCCCCCCGGGCCCGTTGTTTTCATCTCGAGCCGTTTTCTGACGGGCACGAGGCCCGTCCACAGGGCCCCGAGGAGGCACAGTCCTCGTCTCGATTTCTTCGAAGCGCAAAATGCCTGGGGTCCACCTGCCTCGGCATGAAGGCAGGACGCGGGTCCTGCGGGGCCTGGGCCCCGGGGCCTCCCCCTGGAGCCAGCCAGCTGCTCACCCGCAGGCGTTGGCCTGACGGTCCCAGGGCCAGCGGAGGGCACCTCCGAAACCCGAGGCCGTCGAGAGCACGTCTCCCAGAACTCAAGAGAACAAGAAAGCACTGCATAAACTTTTGGCGATCTATTGAGACGATCTATCGAAGAAGAGAGGATCGAAGAAGAAAGCATTGCATACACATAAACTTTTGGCGCTCCGCGCGGATTTCTTGGATCTGCGCTGGGCCCCCCGGCGGCGCCTCCGGCGCCGCCCCCGGCGCGCTCCGCGCGCCAGGGAGAGGGGTCCGGCACGGATCCAAAAAATCCGCGCGGAACGCCAACAATTTATGCTTATGCCGTTTCTTTTTCGTCTTCTTCGTCTTCTTCTAAGATAGGGACGCCGGCGGAAGGGACTTCTGAGACCGCGGCGTTGCATTCGATATCTCGAAAAAGTGTGAGCGACAGCGTCGTGCAGCGACCTTTGTTGGCGAAACCGAAGGTCTTGAGAAATCGGCATCGCCCGTCTCAAAAGTCCCTTTCCTGGGGTCCCTTTTTGGAGCCACAGGACCGTCTCCCTCAAGACTCATTGCCTCCATTTGAGCAGGGACCGACCTTCCCGGCATTCCTGTAGGCCTACCACGAAATGTCCGAAGAACCCAAAAGTGTGCTAGGATCATCAACCCGACGCGCTGAAACAATACTGACTCAGCCAGAACTGTTCTAAGAAACTTTGGTGCAAACCACACAAGGTGAGCCTATAGGCGAGCCAGGACGCTTCGCCACTGCTTGATCCATGGCGGCCGCCCGAGCGGGGCCCCACTCCACGGGGGAGGCGCCGGCATCGCGGCGGCCAGCAGCGCCCCGCGGCCTGGCAGCCGTGGCGGCAGCCGCGCGGGGGCGCCGCCGCGCGCCGCCAGCGCGGCGGCGCCGAACGCGCGGCCGTCTGCGGGCGGGTCGCGGGAAGCCACCCCCCCCGCTGTGGAAACATATGTGAGGGAGCCCAGGGACACATACACACACCCGCACACGCGAACACACACGAACACACACGCACACACACACACACACCGCGCACACACACAAACACACACACACACGCATACACACACCACACACACACACACCACACACACACACCGCAAACACACAGCGCACAGCGCACAGCGCACAGCGCACAGCGCACAGCGCACAGCGCACAGCGCACACGGCACACGGCACACGGCACACGGCACACGGCACACGGCACACGGCACACGGCACACGGCACACGACACACGCACACTCACACAACACACACAGCACACAACACACAACACACACACAACACACAGACAACACACAAATACACACACACGCGCACGCGCACGCGCACACGCACACGCACACGCGCACACACACACACTCACACACTCACACAACACACACACACAACGCACAACACACAACACACACACAACACACAACACACAGAGAACACACACATACACACACAAGCGCGCACACGCACGCGCACGCGCACGCGCGCACACACACACACACGCGCACATGCACGCGCACGCGCACACGCACACGCTCACGCTCACGCACACACACTTACACACTCACACACTTACACACTTACACACTTACACGCGCACGCACACGCACACGCACACTTACACGCACTCGCACTCGCACACTTACACTTACACTTACACTTACGCTTACACTTACACTTACACTTACACTTATACTTACACTTACACTTACACGCACACACACACATACACACATACACACATACACACACACACACACGCAAATGGATACACACAGATCCCATAATCCCTTTTTTCTCGTATATACGTATATGTTTATGCATACATATACACATAAACACGCATATATATATATATATATGTGTCTTCTTGATGTTCGTCACCCCCCCTCCCACTTCCCATATTTTCCCGTACTTTCCTTGGGAATCGACGACACGACTCTGGGTGTCTGTGTTTTTTTCCCTCCTGGAAATGGGAGGGCGCCAACTCTATACACCCACACTGATTCTGGGCAGGCTCGTCTCCTGGGCCAAGGATCGGTGTATGCGCTCTCCTGGCTCTTGGGTAGGGATCGGCCTGGGCCCAGGATCAGTGGCCAACCACACATACGATCAAGAAACTTACATGTTAGAAAACTGTGTCAGCTTTCCGGAGGTTTCTTTAAACAAACCTGGGTCAACAGTTATGTTGTTGACGCTGGAAAGGCGAACGCATTCAAGGACGGGGTCAGCTTTCTGGCAAGTTGGTGAAGAAACGCTGGCCCAACTTTTCGGGCGGAGGTTTCTTCTTCAGATGTTCGACCGTAGGTGTATTGCTGGTGTCCTCCGAACGTAGAGTCATCGTGCTACCCGAAGGAACGCCAAATATGGAACGAAGGTGCTTCTCTGGCCAAGGCGGGCCGAGGCCATGAACAGGCTCTACGACAGAAATCCCAGGGACGGCCTGGAAACCCGAGCACCCCCCGAGCGCAAGGAGGTTTTTTTTCCAATGTCTTGGCTGGTAATTAGCGACGGGAGGTTTTGGACGCCGCAAGAGCGCTCCCAGAAGGCCCCCCCCCGGGAGGCGAACATCCATGGGTGGCCATTCGGTGCTTCTGTTTTTTTTGCGTCCTCGCCTTCTCGTCGTCGTTGCCATCGCCGCCCCCCTCGCTGAGGAAATAAATGGCGGCAGCAGGCTTTCGACCCGCCCCAACCCATCTGGTCCCTAGGAAATTCCGGCCTCTCGGAGCCCTTGACGGGCCTTGTGGCCGTCAGAAAACGGCTCGAAATCAGAAACGGGCCCGGGGGAGGGTCGGGATGTCCCGGTACGGCGCGTTGACAAGAAAAAACACATCGGATCTCTTGGGAGACGGATGTTGTTCACAATTGTCGGCCTATCGGGGCCCTTGCTAGGCCTCGGGGCTGGCAACACACAATTCGGGATGAAAGACCAGCCCCAGGGAAGTTGTCAAGAGGTCTGGGGCCCACATCCTGAAAAAATGTCTCGGACATGGCCTCCAAGAAAACCCCCACAAGGCGAATACCATATCTGGTCATTCAATGTTTCTATGTGTTTCGCGTCCACGCCTTCTCGTCGTCGTCGCCGCCGCCGTCGCCGCTGTTATCGCCGTGGTAGTCGTCGTCGTCGCCGCCGCTGCCGCTGCCGCCGCCGCCGCCGCCGCCGCCGCCGTCGTCGTCGTCGTCGTCGTCGTCGTCGTCGTCGGCCCCTCCCGCCCTCAGAAGCTGCCCCCGCCGCCCCGCCGCTCTCCCCTCCTCGCGCGGGGCCGCCGCGGCCTGGCCTCCTGGCTTGGTCGCGAAAGAAGTGGGGAAAGGAACGAGCAGATCGGGGCGAGGAGGGAGGAGGAGGAGGAGGAGGAGGAAGAGGAGGAGGAGGATGAAGAGGAGGAGGAGGAGGAGAAGACGAGGAGGAGGAGCAGGGGGAGGAGGAGGAGGAGGAGGAGGAGGAGGAGTGGAGGAGGACCCACACCTCCTGCCGTCCGTAACCACTTTGGCTCGAGTTGAAGCCCCGTACCCTGGGGGCTTCAGCTCGACTGCGGCTGAGGGGTTGCCCTACGGAGGCCGCCTCTCAGGCTTCTTTCAGCGCCCGCCCGCTGTGTGCCGTCGTGTGGTTGTGGGCTCCCTTCCAGAACGTTCCGCCTCCTCCAGCAGCACACTTGGCCATGCAGCTGTGGAGGAAGCCCACAGCCGCGCCAGGGCTCACTGTGTGCGATCACTGAAGGAAACCTGAGAAGCAACCGCAGCGGGGCAACCCCTCAGCTGCATTCAAGCTGACGCCCCCAGGTCACGCGGCTTCAACTGGAGCCGAATATGGCTACGGACGGCAGGCGGTGCGGGTCCTCCACCTCCTCCTGGAAGCCTCGAAGCTGCGGACAAGCTCGCATCGATGCGCCGATGCCCTCTCCCCATCCTTTTGGCACGTAGCTCAGAGCAGGCTCACATGGGTTATCATGGCTGCTGCCCACTGTAATGCTGAACCAAGTGTGATATCGCAGCCCAGGCATATGTATGCACACATGCATGCACGCATGCATGTATACTTATATGCATGCATGTATGTATGTATGTTTGTTTGCATGCATGTATGCATGTATATATGCATACATGCGTGTAGGTATGTATGCATACATGTGTGTGCACGTATGCATGTATGCATGTACGCATGTATGTATGTATACATGTATGCTAATGTATGCATGTGTGCATGCAGGTAGGTAGATAGGTAGACAGGCAGGTAGGTAGGTAGGTAGGCATGTGTATGTATGTCTGTATGTATGTAGGTAGGTAGTATGCGCGTATATATATATACACATATACAAATATGTATATAGATATGTATGTATAAATATATATAAGTACACAATCACACGTGTGCATATACATAAAGAGAAACACACTGATGAACCAAGCAAGATACATACATAGAGAGAAAGAGAGAGAGAGAGAGAGAGAACAAAAAAAAAAAAAAGGCAGCGGGGGTCGGCCCTCGAGCATTGTTGAAAATATATAACGCGATGACCACCCGCTGACTTGCTAGGACCGCCAGGGCAAGCCGACGCCTCGCCTCCTCCTCCTCCCCCTCCCCCCTCCCGCCGTCGCTGCTGCCCTCGCCGCCCCCAGCTGAGCTCGCCGCCCGCCGCCGCCCCGCCGCCGTCGCCACCGCGAGCGAAGTCCCCGCACGGCCTCGCCCCCTTCAGCGCACCGCCCCCGCGCTTCCTCCTCGGGGCCTGCCCCTCGCGGGCTCCTCGCCCCTCGTCTCGCGCACCACGAATTGGCACAGCCTCCGTTTGCCGCTTTTCCTTGGTGTTCCTCTGATCCAGACATCCTCGCGCTGTGGAAAAAATCGCGACGGCCGGTTTTTCGTTATTTTCTGTTTCCAGGGGCTGCCAGACTCACAAACAAACAAAAAACAGTCCCCGGGATGGGGGAGGAGGAGGAGGGGGAGGAGGAGGAGGAGTAGGAGGAGGAGGAGAAGGAGGAGGAGGAGGAGGAGGAGGGGGAGGAGGAGGAGGAGGAGGAGGAGGAGGAGGAGGAGGAGGGGAGGAGGAGGAGGAGGAGCAGGAGGAGGAGGAGGAGGAGGAGGAGGAGTTTTCATCATGCGCGGCGCCAAGCGTGCAAGCACAGCTAGGCGGCTCGGGCGCAAACCCGACCGTGGGAGAAGGGCCCGCCCGAACACCTCTCCGCCGGGGGGTGCCGGCAGGCGAGGACGTAGTCCGCGAACGGCCGCGGCCTAAACTGGCCGCTGGCCAAGAGCAACGGCAGGCCAGTGCGCGGGTGCTTGCCCTCCCAAAAGCGGCCCAGGCGGGCGTCTGCGGGGGGGCCACCCCGAGGCAAGGCTGCGCGAGGAGCTGAGCGTTCCCGCTCGGGTGCGCTCCGCACCTCGCGCAGAAGAGAAAAGGGCCCACGCACCACACGCGGTGGCCACCGCCTGGGCTGCACGCCGCAGGCGTGTAGCCATCACGCGTCCTGGCGACGCGGAAACAACGGCAGCATCGGAAGCCCTTGCCGCACGGCGCTGGCTCGTGCGTGCCCGCGGGCAACACCGTGTCTGCCGTCAGCACGGGGACTAGCACCCTGCGCCGCGCACGTCGCAGGTGGCCGTGTCGCGGCGCATCCTGCTGGCCGGGGTCCGCTGAGCGCAGCACCCGAGCCAAAAAACCCTGCAACGAGGGTCACAAGGTGAAAGGTGTGCCGAACCCACACCAAAGCAGCATTGTCCGTGGGGTGGAGGGTTTCTCCTTCCCGAGCGCCGAGGTTCGCAGAGTGGTTCCTCCAGCGCTGGATCAAGCCCCGCTCGACGGCGCTGTCGTGACAACGTCGAACGTGGCCCTCGACCTTCATAATAGTGACCTCGCCTCCTGGGCCGCCCACGCGATCCCAAATGCGAGACCAAAGGTCGGCTGCCTCGCACTGGGCCCCAGTGGTCTCGGCGCGACCGCGTTCGAAGCTGGAGACCACCCAGCCGCAGTCCGAATGGAAGCAGTAGGGCCCCAAGGCCGCGCGCGCCAGGTACATGGGGAAGGCGAAGACCTCAGCGAAGTCCGACGCCTGGTGTGGTCATGGGAGCGGACCGCACAAGGAGGCGGTCAAGCATCCCTGCCCGCCCACCTGGGCCACGGACCAGCCCGCGCGGCTGAGTCGGGGGTCGCCCTGTACAGGCGAGGCGCAGGAGCCGTTGCCGAAGGCCTCGCCTTCGATGCTACCAGATCCAGGCCGCTCAAGCCACTGAGCGAGGAGAGATGAAGACGAGAATCGGGGACCAGGGCGCGCCTCCAGAGGGCCCACGTCGAGTGCACCCCGAGGTCCTGCCGCAGAGAGGGGGGGAGGGCGTGCTCGCGAACAAAGGCCCACGTCGCCGAGCACTGGCCTGACGCCCAGGCTTCAAAGGTCCCAGGGCAGATTCGATGCAACACAGCGGACAGGTGCGACTGCTCGAAAGGCCGTGGCGAAACTTGCGAGCCTGATCCCAAATGCCATTCGAAAGCGCTCGGAGGGTCGCCTGATGCCGAGCCGCCCACCCGGGGCCAGTCCTACCGATGCAGAGGCGGCGGAAGGGGAGCAAGGTCGGGGCGGGCAGGGAGACCAGACGTGTACTCTGAACTCTGCTGGGTTTGATCCAGCAGCCAGTCCTCGGTGCTCAAGCGCGCGAAGTGCAAGACAACTCTCGGACAGGTCGGTGAGATCACCCTCGCTGGTCTCTAACGTGCAAGCCCCTGGGCCGAGCTCCCAACCGACGCGCCTACAGCTAGCTGAGGCCGCCGAAATCAGGCCGCGAATGAGGGCCCAGTCGCTTTTTACGTGGGCCGAGCCAGGGAGGCCTCAGCGGCAAACAAAACTCGGGCAATCCATTCCCGAGACAGCCAAGACTCCCAGACGGCCTGGGCGAACAAATGAATCGGACTCACGGCGCAAGCGCACGCGGGGTCGACCGACCTCGGCGCCGAGGGAGCGAGGTGGAGGTCGAGGGCGAGGGAGCGGCGAGCGGTACGAACGAAGAGGGCGGCATGCGCAGCACGACGCATCGGCTCGATCCCACTCCAAGCCCTCCCAGTCCCCAGATACGAGCGGGCGCGAGACCGAGAGAGACGAGCTGCTGCGATTTGCCTCTAGCGGCGCGCAGCACGCGGATGCGTGCCGAGCGCCTGATCACGGTGGCCACGCGCTTGCTCCGCGTGGCTGCGCCAGGCCGCCGCCCGCAGCCGTAGTCCACGCCCAAATTCCTCGCCGACCTGCGGCCCCTGTCGCGGGGCGCCGCGCAGCGCCGCTGAACCTCGCGGCTGCACTCGGCGGAGTTGGCCAGGACTGCGCCCTTGCCGTTGTTCACTGCGAGTCCGTCCGCCAGAAGCCCGTTGCGGAGCTGCTCGTAGGCGCCGCTGATCTGCGCGGCCACGCGCCTCGCCATGCCCGTCTGAGCCAACTGGATGTCGTCGACGACGTTGCCGACCTGCACCGTGCGCAGCTCCACGATCGCATCCAGACCCGGCAGCAGGAACATGCACCCTGCCACGACGCTGCGCTGGGGTGCGCGGGCCTCGGTGGCAACCCCTTGGTAGCAGACGATGCGCGGCGTCGCATACACCTGGGGCCAGAAGCGCAGCAGGTGCAGGTTGAAGCCGCACGCCTTGGCTCGCTTGGCCAGCAGAGCCCACTGGATGTGCTGGTAGGCCTTCGACAGGTCCATGAGTACAGCGCAGGCTGCCTGGCCACGGTTGGTCGCCACCGCCGCAGTTGCAGCCTGAATCTAAGCGCAAGTCTCGCAGCTCTGACCTGCTGCGCCGTAGATATAATCGCGACGGCGGAGGGGCCGTGGGGCACCTGGGACCAGCCCGATGGCGCGCACCCCGCCCTCGGGCTTGGGCAGAAGGACCATCTGCATCGCCGCCAAGGCCTTCGGCACGTGCCCCAGCTCCAGCACGCGGCGCCAGAGCTCCATGCAAGCCTCGAGCGCCTCGTCACACAGCACGGTCACGCGCCGCGGGTGGCAGGCGTCGCATCCCAAGCCCGTGAGGTGTGGGAAAGAGCGCCCGACCTGGCGCAGCTCCTCGACCGTCGGCAGCCGCGGGAGGTCGCCCAAGTCCAGGGGCCAGGTGACCGCAGCGCGCCCTTCACCTTCGCCCCGGAGCGCGTGCCCCGGGCGCGCCGCCGCCTCGACCGCCAGCTGCGCCGACTGGAGGCCCGCGGAGGGCCGCCAGCGATCAGCCGCCCAAGGCGCCGCCTCGCGGATCCAGCGGAAGCCCTTCCGCACGCCGTCTCCGACGGTGGCCTCGCGAGACCAGTCCAGCCAGGCCTTGTCGCGGCGGTCGGCCGAGCGGCCCGCGGCGGCGCTCGCGGCGCGCTGGAGGTCCTCCAGGAGCGCGCCCACCGCGGGCTGCTCCAGGAAGTCCAGCCTGCGGATGAGGCGTCGCCACGACTGCCAGAGCGCCGGGTCCGCACCTGCCACAGGTGGCGCAAAGCGGAGCAGCTTCACCTGGATGCGCATGGCGTGCTGGTGACTGCCTGACTGTCGGAGGACGCGCCACTCACGCGCGCGCTGCAGGCGACCGCTGCTGCCGCTGGCGGTGAAGCTGCACCCTGACCCGGCGCGCTCCCTCGCTCTTGCCGCGGTAGCGGCCCGCCTCGCGGCCTTCCTCCAAGCCGAAGTGCTGGGCCAGCTCGTCCTCGCAGCGGTCCAGGACGCGCCCGCAAGCAGCATCCAAGCCAGCCGCCGCCGTGACCGTCTGCAGGTCAGCAACCACGTCCTGCCAGCCTGGTGGGGCCAGCTGCGGCCCGACCGACATCTTGGCGGGGAAGGGCTTCGGGCGGCGCAAGCGGAGGACCGTGGCGCCTGGGGGGGGGGCGTGGCCGAGCGGAGCACCACCGCCCTGTGGGTGCGGACCGCAAAGCGGTCACACCGTCGCACCGCCTGGACCTCCGCCAGCTGGTCGGCGCAGAAGTAGTCAATCTCCCGCGCCGAAGTGGGCGCGATGCAGGTGGCGAGGCTGGAGCATGCCAAGCGCGCCCCGATGTGCGGCAGCAGCTGCGCCTCCTCCAGCACGGTGGTCGTCATGTTCCAGTTGGCCCCCACAATGAACGGCCGTCGCATGGCTCGCACCACTGAGCCCAGGTTGGTCAGCAGGTCCAGGTTGAGGTCGTTGAGGTCTTGGCTGGTATGAACGTACGCTGGCACCATCAGCGTGCCCTCGCGGCCTCCCACGGACGCCGTCCAGAAGCCACGGCGGACCGCGATGCGGTCGTCGGCGAATTCGACCTGCTGGAGGTGCACCCAAGGGCGAAACAGGGTGCCCGCCAGCGAAGGCGCCGCCCTTCGCCGTGGCCACCGCGGGACGAGGTCGGCGATCCAGCCCGCGCGGCGGGCGCCGCGTGCAGCGGCAGCCAGCTGGCGCTCCTCCTTCAGATGATCTTCCTGGAAGAGGACTACCTGGACGGAGCTGTCAACGTTGTCCTCCTCCAGCTCCGTGAGGCAGGAGGGCCAGTGTGTCACGCTCGCGGTCATGACCTCCATGCTGGCGTCCTGGCGCCGCCGAGCGCGCCTCGGGCGGGGCCCTCGGGCGCCCTTGGGCGGCGCTTCGCCCTCGCGAGGGGCGGCGGCCCTTGCGCCGCGGGGCTGCGCCCCGGCCCCAGCATCCGCAGCAGCCGTGCAGCAGGCGTCGTGGGCGCCCAGCCCGGGCGCATCCTGGCGGGGGGCCCCCGCGCCGCAAGGCCGCGCCCCAGCCGACCAGCCAGCGCCGGCGCCGAACCCGCCAGCAGCGCCCGGAGCGCCAGGTGCCTATGGCCGAGGAGCAGCGCGAGGTGGAGGATCCAGTCCAGGAGTGGGTTGGCGTCGAGCCGACCTCGCCGAAGAGCTCCGCGACGCGCCAGTAAGAGGATCCACATGGCCCGTGATCGTCGAAGCCGTCGCGCGCGTCGCGGCGGGGGGCCAGCGCGCCGCAGGGCCGCCCCCCAGCCGCGCCGCCAGCACAGCCCCAGCGCGCAGCGCCATGTGCATCGCGAACCTCTGGCCGAAGGAGGTCACGATCTAACCGGTGATCCAGTCCAGGGCGGGGCCGACGACGCGCCGACCTCACCAAAGAGCTCCGCGACTCACCAGAAGGGGATCCACCTGGCACGTGCCCGCGGCAATCGTCGCGCACGTCGTGGCGGGGGGCCCGCGCGCCGCGGGGCCGCTCCCCAGCCGCGCCGCCAGCTCCGCCCCAGCTCGCAGCGCCCTGCGCATCGTTAACCTCTGGCCGAAGGAGGTCGCGAACTGGCCGAAGATCCAATCCAAGGGGGGGGCAATGTCAAACCGACCCCGCCGAAGAGCTCCGCGACGCACCAGATGGGGATCCACCTGGCCCGCGCCCGTCGCAGCCGTCGCGCGCGCCGCGGCTGGGGGCCCGCGCGCCGCGGGGCCGCGCCCCAGCCGCGCCGCTGGCGCCGCCCCAGCACGCAGCGCCCCGCGCATCGCGAACCTCTGGCCGACGGAGGTCACGAGGTGGAACGGCAAACTCATCGCGCGACACCGACGACCCCGCCTCGGCGAGTGCCACTTTGGGGCGGGGGCTTCGCGAGTTCCTTTCGGAGCGCCCGCCATGGCCCCCGCCCCTCGCGGATCGACCCTCGGCTCGGCCGCCGCCGGCGCCATGAGCTCCCCGAGCCTCTGGCCGAAGGACCCCGCGAGCAGGAGGATCCAATCCAGGTGGTGCCCGACGTGGCGCCGACCTGGCCGACGCGCCGCGCGTCGCGCCTGAAGACGAAGGACATGGCCCGTGCCCGCTTCGTTGGCCACCCCCGTTGACGAGATTGGGGGCGGCTCCGCGGGGGGCGTGCGTCGGATGAAAGGGGCGAGGCCAGCAGCCACCTCCCAGCCTGCGGGCAGCAGGCGGGCAGGCACGCAGGCTGCCGCAGGTGCCGAAGTCGCCGACGCAGAGCCAGGTGGCGTCGCGCCCGTTGCCAAACGCGTCCGACTCCATGCGCTTGAGGCCCACGCAGCGCGCAGGATCAGCATCCATGAACTCGTACTCCCCCAACCGAGCACGCGAAGTCCAGAACCCACAGGATGTGACAACCTCCATGCACTGCACCCGCCGCTGGGCTTCGCGCACGGGGTGGGGGGTCGCCTCAAAACTGTCGGAGATCGGGCCGACCGTCGTCGAGCCCGTGTCAAATGCCCGACTGGTCCTCGCCATCATCCACGGGGACCATGCTTCCTTGCTGGGGCCGCTGCGGCCGCCCTTGGACGCGCGCCTTGCCAGCTGTGGCCCTGCTGGCCGCGGCGAAAGCCGGGCGCTGGCGGCCCGCCCCCAAAACGTCCACCGCCGCAGCCCCCGCGCCTGAGGGGCCCGCAGGGGCGGCAGGGGTAGCAGGCGATGCCGCCTGCGGCGCCTGGGCGGGGGCCTCCTGCTGGCTGCCAGCGGCGGCGGCGGCGGCAGGCGCGGGGCAGCGGGGGCCGTAGGCGCAGCCGCAGGCGTTGCTGCACCCTCGGCGGCTGGCTGCCCCGCAACGGGCGCCGCCTCCTGCGACGGGGGGGGGGGGGGGGGGGGCGAGGTGCGCCTCTTCTTGGTATTGAGGCGCTCCCGCAGCTCGCGATGCGCCTTCCCGGGCGTCTCGACCTCCGCCTCGAACTGGCCAAGCGCCTCCTGCGCCATGGCCGCGAACCTCGTCTGCAGCTCCTCGCGGCGCCTCTGCGTCTCCTGGCGGTCGCTCTCCTCCACCTCGTAGTTCTCCAGGGAGTCCAAGCCGAACAGCCCTTCGTCGTCGAGCGCCCAGGCCGCCTTGCCAGCGAGGATCGCCGACGCGCTGAGCTTGGGCACGGCGCCCTCCTGGCCTGGCGCCGCCGCTGGGGCCACGGTGCTCGCCAAGGCCTGCACTGCCAGGGTGGCCGTGCACTTGGCCACGCGCTCGGTGGCCTGGCCGAGGCGCCGCTGGAGCTCCTCCGCCTCGGCCAGGGCGTCGTCCAGGGCGGCGGCGGCAGCGTCCCTGGCAGCGCCTGCCTCGGCCACAGAGAGGGGCCTGGCCACCAGGCGCTGGGCGCGGAGGGCGTCCAGCCGCCGCCTGTACTTGGCCCCCGCAAGCTCGTCACCCGACAGGCGGGGGAGTTCCACGAACTGGGCCAGCTTGGCCTCCTCGGGGTCCGCGTCGGGCTCCAGGGCCTGGGCGACGCCCACGATGCGGACCCCAAGGCTGCCGCTGCGCTGGCGGCCTCCCGCTTCGGCCACCAGGTCGGCGGGCCGTCCGCGCTGCGCGCCGCTGCGCCCGACAGCGTCCTGGCGCCAGGGCGGCTCGCGGGCGCCACGGCCGCCCCTGCTGGAAAGATCAGCGGCGGCCACCAGCGCCGCGAGCAGCAGCAGCAGCCCCCGCAGGCACCAGCTGCAGCGGGCGCTTGCAGTGGCAGCGCCACGTCCACCAGGTCTCGTTCTTGCGGCACCCGCAGTGCAAGCAGGCCTGGGCACGGGTGCTGGAGGCGTCTGCAGCCGCCACGCCGCCGCTGCCGACCTGGCGCGCAAAGGACGGCGCCGCCGAGCCGTGGTGGCCGTCGAGCAGCGCCGCGGCGGCCTCCAGGCGCCCGCGCTGGCGGGGGGAAGGCGCGCACCGCCGCGAGGCGCGCTCGCGGCGGAGGTGCCGATGACACGCCGCCTCCGCCAGCGCGATGGCCCCCGCCCGAGGGGGGCCCGCGGCGGCCTGTCTGCCCCCCAGGCCCTCGGGCAGAAGCCGAGGAGGAGGAGGGGGAGGAGGAGGAGGAGGAGGAGGAGGAGGAGGAGGAGGAGGAGGAGGAGGAGGGGGAGGAAGATTGTCTCGGCTGTCGCTTAAGGCGCGGGTAAAGTGTTACCGTTGCGTGCCCTAACAACAGGGAACATGACCTGTTCAACGACATGGCAATGTGAATATATCTACTGATGTTCGTACTCTCCCCATTGCACTGTGCTTCTTTCCCCCCGCACACTCTGCAATGTTTGCAACGTGCTACATGGCGTGATACAACTGCATTGTTGGCAATGCTCAACAAGAGTGTCAACATGATGCTACCATTGTGACATAAACAACTACCAGTAGAGCATCTGCACATATGTCCGCGAGGTCCTCCAGCCCGGCGAAATGTGCACGGCGAGACGTCTTTTCAGAGGCTCCCAGGCTCACGATAGCCACCCTGGCATGTTATCCCAGCGGGGACGGGATTCTACCACAAGTGGGCCCCCGTCCTCCGTGCGCCCAGACAGGCAGCGGCTGTGCTTGGCAACGTGCCAGAATTCACCCGAATGCAACTCGATCGTGGCCGTTGCAATCACGACGCACCGGGTGCCCGGCGACCGCACACAGACGTCCGTACCAGGTAACGAATCTGGCGGGCTGTTGGCTGTCGACTTTTGTCCACTACCTAGTGCGCCCTGCCTCTTGCTGCCTACTAGCCTAGTGGTCCCCAGCGCGGCCGCGCAGATAAGGATGTGCCTGCTCTCGCCGTCCGCCGTTGACAAGTTATCCTCTCTGGTGGGTCGCGTGTACGATAATGCGATCAGCGGATCTGGACTGAAGTGACATTCAGCTCCATACCGCCTCCTGTTCTAATTTTGAGATATGTGGTAAGACCCTGAATCTTTGACAGCTGCAGGCCTTTGAACAGAAGGGTAATATGTTCACCGCTGAAGGCACGCTGCTTCCACTCTGCCTCCGAAAGGCTGCAATGGCGCACGCGTAATTCAAAGCATGCTGTGCCATGTCTAGCAAGAAGCTTCCGCAGGAAGGCTGTGGGAGGTATTGCACTTCTGAATCGCCCTCTCGGGAATGCGTGCCTATGGGGAAAGCTCGCGGCCGGAGGCTTTCCCGAGCCTCCGCAGGACGGCACTTCTTATGCTTGCCTGCCCTCCTGCCTCGGCCACCCGGCGGCGCCTTGCCGCAGCCGGCCTTCGCAGTGCCGCCCTTCGGCGGGCCGAGGCGGTTCTCTTCTTGTTGACTCCCCTCATGAATTTGATCAGCCCCTTGACGCAATCACGCCCGCCACATGTCTCCAGAAACCGACGCTTGGCATCACGCTGCCTATCCCGCGTGCAACACGGACACTTCGTGCTCGACTGCAAAAGGCCTCTGGTGTTGCGATGCGTCTCGCGCCGAACTGGCACAGGTAAATTGCCTTTGACCCTGCCTAAAATTTTTGGGGGCAACACCCGTCCCCTGCAGAAGGCGCCCACTGAAACCGCCTTCACTCGAGGGCATTCGGCAAAGCCTGCTAGGGGAAATCGCCTGCTAGGAGGAGGAGGAGAAGGAGGAGGAGGAGGAGGAGGAGGAGGAGGAGGAGGAGGAGGAGGAGGAGGAGGAGGAGGAGGAGTTGGAGGAGGCGAAGGAGGAGGAAAAGGAGGAGGAGGGGGGGAGGAGGAGGAGGGGAGGAGGAGGAGGGGGGGGGAGGAGGAGGAGGGGGAGGAGGAGAGGGAGGAGGAGCAGGAGGAGGAGCAGGAGGAGGAGTGCACGTACTCAAAGAGGAAGATACGAGGGCAAGCGGGCAAGAAGCGAGACGAGGGCAAGAAGTCCGTCCGCTCCTGTCCGTCCACCGCGCGTCTACTTCCAGAGCAGGGCTTTGGCGGCGCTCAACCCTTCAGCCATCGTAGCTGGGGTCGGCGAGGCGTGCTTCATTTTGTTAGAGAGGTGAAAGGCGAGCGCGATCCGCTGAATCGACCGCGTTAACGAGAGCTCGTTCGCGGGTTCAGACGGATAGGCTGCAGCGGGGCCCAAGCCCCAATATGTAAGCGCGTTGCGGAGGGGGGGGCGGGTCGGGGGACCAGAGGAGGCTCAGGAGGACCGAGCAGGAGAGGTAGTGAGGGAATGAATCCGGTGCCGCTGGGCACCCGAACACACACGGCTTCTGCTGGAGAACGTGCATGCGGTGGGTCGTCGTCCATCCGCCCGCGAGAGTCTTATATACCGCCCAGCGCCAGCTCGGGCGGACGGTGCGCAGGGCATTCGCGAGAGCAGCCCATCGCGTCGCGAGTTCTGGGGGCGGCGGCGGCTGAGAAACGCCCCAGGCTGCAATGCGCTTCTCGAGCGTGACTGTGAAGGGCGATGAGAAGGAGGCCCGCTGCAGCGTGAGCGCGACCGCACGCTGCACCTTGGGGCGGCGCGGTGGCTCGGCACTCGGGGCCTCGCGAATTTCGCGGGCAGCTGCGCGGTTCGCCGCGGCCACGGCAGCTGCTGGAAACGGGGCGGCACGCTTGCCACACGACAAGGCATGGTAGAATTGCACGATGGAAGTGGGCTCTTCCCAGAAGGGCGGAGACCACTGCCCTTGCTCCCACCGATGGAAGGAGTGAACCGTACTCTCCTCCCACGCGGTGTCCTGCAGGCGAGTGAAGAATGGCTCCCATTCCCCACGGAGCGTGAAAGTGGCTGAACGAATGGCGGCGGCGACAGTTGAAATCTGAGCTGAGCGAGGGACAGGAGGCGGGCACCACTCCGCCATGGCAATGAGATCAACTTTGCGAAATGTGTTAGGCGGCAGACTGAGCATCTTATGGAACATGTGATGTTCACGGCGGGCAGTCTTCTGATCGAGCGGGAAGAACTGCGAGACATAGCTGAGCGTTGAAACGACTGAGGTGTTATGAAGGCGAACGGTGGCGTCACCGCCACTCTGCACAAGCTGTAAAGTATTCCCGCGCTGCCACCATTTCTGCCCAGGGGCGAGCCATTGGTGAGCGAGGGAGGCCGCGGGTCCGAGGAAGGTCCCGAGGTACTTGGCTCGCCCCGGAACCGAAAAGCCACCCCAGGAAAGACAACGTTCGGCAAGAAGCGCTTTCGTTCGAGCGATGGTGGCAGGCGACGTCTTCGCCCAAAGCGGGACGACGACACACTTGCGAGCCTTCAGGCAAAGGAGCGCAAGCTCCTCCGCGGCGGCAAAGGGCTCAGAGGCAGCGCGCAGCGTGTCGAACGAGAACGTGAGGAGGCCAGTGTCGTCCGCGCAGACGCCCAGATAGCCCTTGTCGTAGTCAGGCATGCCGTCGACGGCCTCGACGAACGAGGCGATGTGGCGAACGAGCGGGTCCATGGCGATCGCCCACGCCGAGCCGCTCGCAGGGCAGCCCTGAGCCACGCCAGACTCGATCGGGAACATGAAGTGGCGAACGCCGTCAACTTTGAGGAAGCTGTTGGGGGCGTGGTACAGCTGGCGAAAGAGGCTCATCAGGCCCTCGGGGACGCCGAAGCGCTCCAGCGACGCGAAGAGCCAGACGCGTCCGAGCGACGGAAACGCCGCCGCGAAGTCGAAGCTGGTGAAGACGGGCTTGTGTTTGTCGGTCTCTGGACGAACTCCAGCGCGGCGCATCTCGGCGTCGAGGTTGACGATGTGCGTGGTGAAATTGCGGCCCACGACAAAGCCCTGCTGCGAGTAATGAATCCGCTCTGCCACAGCGGATTTGATGAGGAAGTTGGCCGCACCTGCGATGGCCTTGATATCTGTGTTCTTGAGGGACAGCGGGCGTGTGTCCTCAGGCAGGCGGTCCGTGGTGAGCTCTCCTGTTAGGTTGTCGCCCTTCCGCACGAACACGAAATCTGAGTCGTTCAGGTCGTGGATGAAGTCAGGGTTGGAGCAGAAGTGCCAGGCAAGGTCCTCCAGCAGGTCCAGGGACGCGTCCACGGCGAGCCAGGCGCGGTACGGCAAGAGGTCGGGCCCAGGCGCGGACGGTGCCGTGCGAAGCAGAAAGCCTCTGATGTGCAACTTGGTGGGCGCGCCGACGTCGATGATGGGATGGCTGGGCATGTGCTCGTCGATGTACTGCTGGACCTTGTCGGCGTCGACGTGCTTGCGCTCGAAGACGGGCCGCCAGTGAGCGCGGAGAGCGTCCACCATCGCACAGCTCTCTCTGGCTACCCCTGGGTGGCCCTCGGGATCGGTGGTTTTGATCCCCTGGAGGACCAGGCGGCGCTTCCAAGGGGCCCAAAGCAGGGCCCTGCGCTGGGAAGATTGGGTGATCTTCCTGAGCTTCTTGGGGTCGATGGCTCCTGGGGAGCCTCGCGGCAGCTGGGCTGCACGCTGTGCCAGAGAGCGCTCCCGAGCCTCGAAGTCACGGTGCAGCGCGGCAGACTTCATGGCGAACTCGGCAGCATCCGAGAGCGCGATGTGTCCGTCGTCGATGGTGAGGAACTTGGCGCCAAGCTCGGTGGTGGACTGCAGACGTCGTGCAAGGCGAACGTCCTGGCGCCAGACCGCGCGCGAGATCGAACGCGCCGTGATCACCTGGCCGTCGGTGTAGTTTGACTTGCCGATCTCGCCGGCTGCGCGGCTGACCCAATCATCACGGACGAGCCGCGCGGCCTCAACCATGAGGGTCTTGTGCGCGCGCCAGCGGTTCTCGATCGTCCTGTGGCGCGTGACGGAGGAGGAGGAGGAGGAGGAGGAGGAGGAGGAGGAGCAGGAGGAGGAGGAGGAGGAGGAGCAGGTCGGGCATGTCTTCATACAAGTGGACTTTGGAAGAACAATTTTGAAAACAAGAATCAGCACATAACCAATCATGGTGAGGAGAGCACGGAGAACCGTCACCAGGCTATTTCTGTTACTGTTGTTGAGTATTCCTCCTGTGGAGTGACATGCCCGACTTAACTACATTCTCATGCGCAGCTGTGATCTAGAGTCTAGAGGTCGGAGCCCGGTATTTCCGTCGTCGTTCCTTCGTTCGCTCGTCTTCGATCGCCTCCTCCCCCGAGACCTCTGCCCCTGCCTCATGAGGATGGTCACGACGGCCCCAGGAGAACACCAGGACGGCCCCAAGAACTCCCCCCTCTCCTCACCCCGCCTCGCCTGGCCATCGTCCTCCCTCGCGCACGAGCCTGGACATTTTCGTGCCACTTGTGTCGCAGGGGCGCACTGCTTGGCGTCGCTTGGCATGGACTGGCACCGCTGTGCGCTGCATGGGGTTGATTAGCGTCGCTTGCAATACTGGGGAGCCCGAGGAACAAGACGAGAGAACCCAAGGCACCCAAGCGAGGAACAAGAACAGGGAACCCGAGGACCCCGTGGAACAAGTTCGGGGAGCCCGAGGAACCAAAGCAAGGAACAACACCAGGGACCGCGAGGCACAGGACCGGGGAACCTGAGGAAGGAAGGTCAGGTACAATACTGCAGAACGCAAGGCAAGGCAACAAGACCGGGGACCCCCGGGAAAGGCCCCTGTACGGAAATTCGACTGGGGGGCCCCAGGTAAGGCCGGCGACGACCGCCCGCCTGGCACCCACATTTTCCCTCAACAGCAAAGAAGGATCACTCAGGCAAAGCCAACTTGGGGGGAGAAGCGCATCTGCGGAGATCTGGGGGCGCCCTTTCCCCTGGGAGTCCTGGCCCTTTCCCCGGGAACGGGATTCCCTGTACCCAGTCCTGGGCCTGGTACGGTAGGGGCGTTGTTTAAGGAATGCGCCCAGGATGATGCAGACCCTGGAGGATTCCATATCTGATGAGGGCGGCGGTGATGTCCATGGCCAAGCTTCGATTGGAGTTCCACTGGTCTCCAGACCCTGGATTCCTTATCTAAGGGTTTCTTATCCAATGCCCCCACCGTAAGGGCCCCCAGAGGCCGAACAGTGCTTCAAACATCCCGTCGTGATCTCTGCGCAACGGAATGGGATGGATGTCCTCCCCCCTCTCCCCGTGCCCTTCGTCCCGCTCCTGCGCTCCGACCTGAGCGACGAAAGGGGACGGGTCTTGTGCACGATGACGTAGTGACCTTGCCCGGTGGGCTACGCGGGCCGCCAGCGCGGCGCGCCACATGGGAAACGAGGGCGTTTCCGCGCGACCTTGCGCGGGCACCTTACGAGCCAATGTCGTTGAAGACGACCCCGTTTTTCCAACCATCCTCCGAACTATTTGTCAGTCCGTGGCCCCAAAGTTCCCGACCCTTTCTCTGGGGTTAAGTCTTGCGCACCAGATCCATTTTGGTGGTCCAGGGGGCCGGTGGCGGGCCCCAGAAGACGAACTCCAGGGAAGATGCCCGTCTTGAACAGAACATATCATATCGTCGGAGATCTGGGTTGCGCGCAAATGTAAAGGGGGCCAGGGACACACACACACACACAAACACACATTCCTCTTCCTATATTATTAGAAGCTCGGGCGCCCCCCCCCCCAAGAGAAAAACCGGACTCCCGGGATCTGGGGCTTTGGGACCCTCCGGACGGGCCTCGAAGCGGCCCCCGAGGCCTCTAGAAGGCCTTAAGAACGCCTGAAACTTTTGTGAGGCCCCCAGAGGCTCTCCAAGGAGGAGTCTCCGCAAAAAGAGCTGAGGAGGATGGGGAACATGCGCAGGGTATGGCGAGAATGAGGAAAAAGAAGCATGGAGGACGGATAACGAATAACATGATTTTAGCGGCGATGCTGGAAAAGGCAACAAGGAGTCATCGCTAAATTGTCGGCTTGACCTTCCTGCCATTCCGCCTGCATACCAAACTTCAAGGATCTGGAAGCCTCCTGGGCGTGTTCTGGAGGTTCTGGGGGCTTCCTCGGGCCACCCGGCCACCCTGCCTCCAACCGCGGTCTCCTTGAACGACCGGGTCATGAATTGGAATGCTTCGGAGGGTGTCTTGGGGCCGTCTTGGGCCGCCATGGGGCTCTCTTAAGGCAATATTTGGCCCCTGTTGTGCCGTTTTGGGGCTCTCTTGGACTGCCTGGAAGCCCTTTCGGATGGTTGTGGGGAGATTTTGGAACCACCCAGGCGGCTTCGGACGCCCAGAAGACTGCCATATTGGAGCGTCGGGAAGCCGAAAAGAGGAGAACACCAAAATTCAGCAACAAAAACAATAGAAAATCAATGACTTTTGCCTCTTGGGGCCTTCTTGGGAGTGCTCTTGGAAGCTTTTTGAAGCCTTTGGGGCCGTCCTGGAGGCCTCTTGGGCCATCTTGAGGTCACGTCGGTCACTCTTGGAGCGCTCTTGTGCTGTCTTGGGGGTCTCTGAGACGTCTCCGATGACCCCCCTGGTCGCCCAAGGTGTGCTGGGAAGGCTTGGCAAAACGCCCTGCGAGGCCCCGGGCCGCTTCGAAGCCCGTCCAGAGGGTCCCAAAGCCCCAGATCCCGTGAGTCCGGTTTTTTTGGGGGGGTCACCCGCCCGGGCTTATAAATATATAAGAAGAGGAATACAAATCCCAGGGCCCCACTTCCCATATTTTCTGGCATTTTCTGGGGAATCGAGGATTAATTGTGTCTCTGTATGTTTTTTCCCTCCTGGCAAATGTCGTTGAAGACGATCCCGTTTCTTCTGCGTTGCTCGCCTGGCCCCCCAAAAAATGTCGGGAATGTCTCAGGACTTCCAGAGTCTCGAGCTGCCTCCGTCTCTGCAGACCCTGTGGAACATCAGGACATCTGAGAATTCCTACAAAACCTTGGAACGTGTCACTATCATGACCTCTTGTGCGAGGCGGGGGTTTGTCCATGTCCACCGCCCAGGAACCGACGCTCTGGTGCCCCAGAGGGCGGTGGATATGGATACGTATGTTTTGGCCCAGAGGCTCGCGTATGTCCCCCCCCTCCCCCCCGCCCCCCCCCCGCCCTCGTGGCTTGCCTCAAGCAAACAAACTACGCCTGGCTGGCGCAGCGGGGGATAGGAAGGCGCATGGGCTAAGCCAAAGACAGAGTGCCCGCAAGGGCAAAGAGCATGCGCCAGCCAGACGGTACAGCAAGGAAAGAAGCCGAAGCGAACCGAACGCAAGAATGTCCGACGGCGAGGAGCGAGCCGATCGAGTGAGGAGCGAAATCCTCCTCCTCCTCTTCTTCCTCCTCCGCCGAACGTCCTCCTCTCCTCCCCTGCAAACAGAAACCCTGCCGCCCCACCACGGGCGCGGAGAGGCAGCGCGCCCCGCGCCTCCGACGCCCTCGGCCGCAGGCCCTGCCCCGGCGGGCGCTTCCTCGCCGGTCGGGCGCGCGCTGCGGGGTAGAGGGGGGGGGGCATCTGCGGTGGGTGACCTGGCGGCTGCTCCTGCACGGTTCTCGAGCCACCAGGCCACCTCGGGCAATGACACACAATTCGGCCAAATCTGTTAAATTTCGGGAGGTTTCTCCCAGTTTCTTCCAATCAATCATGATGGGAGGTTTCTCCTCATTTCGACCTCTAGACTCTAGAGGGCCTTACCTGCCTCGGGCCCTTCCAACAAAAACGATTCAGGATGAAAAGCAGTTCCAGGGGATTGGGTCGAGACCTCGGGGGTCGATGATATGGCGAGAATCACGACGTCGGGGGTCAGGGCTTGGCGGCGCGCAGGAAGGAGGGGGTGGAGGGAGGCGGGAAGAGCCAGAGTGGCGACGGGAAGGAAGAGTGGAGGGGGTGAGGGCGAGAGTGCTCGAGGTCCGCTCTACTTCTTTCTCTGCTTGCAAGTCCTGCTCGGCACGCGACGTCTGATGCATCTGTTTGCCGCTATGCCCAAGTCGGCTCGCGCTGCCTGTCCCCGCAGGAACGCTTCAGCCACGCAGCCAAAGTCTGACCAACGACAACGTGCTCGAGGTCAGCTCTCCGCCCCTCTTCAACCGCTCTCCTGAGAAGCAGTTCCGCACAGCGCGAAGAGTTGGAGCCGCGCACGAGGGTGTGTGGGGAAGGTGGACAACTTCGTAGAAGGAGCCTGCTTCTTCCAGGGCGCCGGCCTCACATCTACGGACAAGGCCCGCGCCTTCTAAGAAGCGCCTCTAAGAAGCTTCTCTCCTCCCCCTACCCCCTTCTGCGCGTGGCCGACGAATGTACGAAACCTTCGGGAGTGCCTCTTGCGACCTCGAACCGCACTTCTGAAGACACAAACCATTGTTTTCAGGTGCGGCCGAACCGACCACTGTCAAACCATCCCCTTCCGTGACGTACCCCTCACCTCGCACCAAGACGTAAGTATGCGGCTGGAGGGAAGCTCGAAAGGCGAGGATGACGTCATAGAACTGGGATTGGCGCGGGGGGGGCTAAGATTTCAGTGGGCACCCAAGGGGTTATACTTGGCCGAATCTGGCTTCTAAGTGGGTTACACATGCCACAAATGACTTATTGGAGGTTAGACAACTCCGCTAAGTGGGCGGACCCCCCTTAGCCTGGATCGCTATCCCCCCAAGCCACTGGGGGCATTAACAACCCACTAATGAGCTAGGTTAGGCCAGATACAACCCACCTGGGTATCCACTGATAACCCCCCTATCCCCTGAGCACCCCTGCCAGCCAATCTCAGAAGGGGATGGTTTGCTAGGGGTCGGTTAGGCCGCGCCCGATGTTTCTGGAGTTCCAGGCCCTAGCTCCGGGCCCAGCGAGGGGGGGAGGGGGGGGGCTGCGCTGGCCGCGGCGGCACGCGGCGCCCCAAGACCCCCCAACGTGCTGGGAAGCTCAGTGCGGGAGTTTGCCGCCCGCTGCGGCTCCCGGGGGCCCTCGCAGGGCCCGAGGGCAGTCAGAAAGCAAGTCGGGATGAGAACATCTGGTCCCGGGCAAGGGTCCAGAGCACGCCGTGGCACACATCACAGGGCCCCGGCTTGGCCCCTGGGCCATCTACAACCGACTCGGTATGAAATGAAAGGCTGACCGTGGGGAAGGGGGTGGGACTTCTGCGGGCGGGGCCCCGTATTGAAACAAACTCACAGCCTCGGACATCTGGGTGTGCGTCGCGCGTCTGGAGCAGGGCGCCCAACTGCGTCGGCCATCTCGGCGCAGGGGGCTTCGTCCCCAGACATGCATCGTCCTGCTTTTTGCAGGGCGGCGTCCTCGGAAGTCCCGATCCCTTCCCCGAGGCCAGTTTCTCATCCTGAGTCGTTTGTTGACGCTCCTGGGGCCCGGCGAGGGCCCCCAGGGGCCGAACATAGCGAAACACTTGCCGTCCTGATTTGTTGTACGACGCGATCATGTCTGGGTCTGGATTCTTCGAGCAGGGGACCGACTACCACACTGGCTTACGAGAGGTGCCGGGAAGAGGGCACACGCCACCACCGAGCCCGGCCGGGGGCGGCATGGGCTCTGGCGTGGTGTGCCGTGCGTCAGCCGGAGGGGCGTGTGCACCACGTCTCGGGCAGGGGAGCGGCAACAAAGTGGATCTACCCCAGGAGTGATCCTGGTCGCCGAATCCACGCAACGATGCGCAGAAGGGTTGTCGAATCTCCGAACATCGGCTACGTATTTTTGTCGCAGGCTCGACGAACACATGATCCTGGGGTAGATCGATTCTGTGGTCGATGCCCCACTCGAAAGGCGCGAGGGGGGGAGGGGTGAGAGCGGCTGGAGGCAGCCGGTGCAGCAGGGGAGAGCCGTGGGATATATCGATTATTTCTCTTCGCATGACTCCTTCCCTTACCCTGGACTTGCGACGCATCTGCGCGCGCCCTGACAACAACGAATGCTTGAACCCGTCCCTGGCACCTCCCAAAGTGTGACGCCCGAATGATCCAGAATAACTGCGGTGGGGGTAACTCCCGTTTGGGCCTGGCAGGCGCGAACCCGTAGCTGCCCCTGACCGCCCCCAACCTCGATGACTCGGGAAGGTTGGACGCCGGAAGGATCTGGGATGACTCTAATCTGGGGTGAGTCCGGTTTGGGCCCCCGAGGCGCGAATATGTACCCAGAGATCTGGCTGCTCCAATCTTGTCGATGCGTGGGCCCTGGAAAGCTGGACCACTTCCCAACAGGGCCAGCTTTTCGTCCTGAGTCGTGCTCTGACAGCCGACCAGGACAGCGTCGTGCCCCCCAGGCCCCAAAACGGTACCAATCGCACGCCACACACACACACGCACACACACACACCAGCGTCACCACACCGTTTGTAAAGTCGCCGAGGGAGGGGGAGAGGGAGGGGAGGAGGAGGAGGAGGAGGAGGAGGAGGAGGAGGAGGAGGAGGAGGAGGAGGAGGAGGAGGAGGAGGAGGAGGAGGAGGGGGAGGGGGGGGAGGAAGAGGAGGAGGAGGAGGAGGAGGAGAAGAAGGAAGAGGTAAAGGACGAAGAAAAGGTAGTGGAGGAGAAGGAGGAGGAGGAGGAAACAGAGGAGGAGGAGAAGACGTGCGGGGCGCGCCAAGGCGGCCCCGAGGAGGCCGGGCCCGCCTGCGGCCGCGAGCACAGGTCAAAGAGGTGGCCCAGCGCGCCGCGGCCCGCGCCCAGGCGCCCGCTGGCGGCGTCCAGCTCGCCGAGCAGGCCCACCACGCGCTCGGACACCTGGGGCGGCGGGGGCGAAGTGCACGGTTTCCCCTGGGGCCGTAGGCGACCCGAGGAGGAGGAGAACAGGAGGAGGAGGAGGAGGAGGAGGAGGAGGAGGAGGAGGAGGAGAGGATGAGGAGGATGAGGATGAGGATGAGGATGATGATGATGATGATGATGATGATGATGATGATGATGATGATGATGATGATGATGATGATGATGATGATGATGATGATGATGATGATGATGATCATGATGATGATGATTATGCTGATGATGATGATGATGATGATGATGATGATGATGAGGAGGAGGAGGAGGAGGAGGAGGGTGAGGAGGAGGAGGAGGAGGAGTGAGGAGGAGGAGGAGAAGGAGGAGGAGTGGTCGGCGGGGGCGTACAGCCAGGTCGGACATGTCCCCCTACAGGCGGATTTTGGGCGAGATATAAAACATGATCCGCAAGTACCCCAAAAATGTTCAAACATAATTTTAAATATTGTCCCGGACTATTTGTTGACTATGTTTGAATATTGTTCCTGTAGAGGGGCGTGCCCGACTCAGGCGAAGAGCTCCCTGGGCCCGCGGCGGCCGCCAAGCTTCCTACAGCGGAGGCCAGTCCACAAGAGACCTTCCACAGGAAACCCAGCCCTGAGACCCAAGGATGTCCATGGATTTGGTGGTGCCAACGTCACGCTATCCACAGCAAAGCCATCGAAACCCAAGAAACCCAGGGTACCCTGGAGGCAAGCAGGGTGTTTCTTGGCATGGGCCCCCACTGTGCGCACACCCTTGGCTGGGGAGACAAACAACAAATACCGATGCCGTTAACCCCTGGACCTCTCCCGGGGTGCGTTTTCTGACTAGAATTTCGAGGCGAATCCAGCGGTGGCGACGAGGGCCTCCCACAAACGGGGAAACGGCCGAAGGGTCGCGGTATGGGTATACCTCTTCCTTCAGACAAGCGGTCTGAAGAACACTGCTGCCTGCAGCATTGCAGGAGCACAGCTCCGTGGCACGAGGAGGGCACGCCCAACCCCCCCCGGCAGTCCCTCCGGCGCGCTCGCACGCCAGGGGAACAGGGAGGCCCGCGCTGGCTCGGGCACTCTCTCTGCAGACCCCCCCGACCGGGCTGAGGCAAGCGGAAGGTGAAGTCACGCCTCGGAGGGGAACGAGCAATGACGCAAACATAAAAGCTCGGAGGTCCGCGCGGACTTCTCGGATCGGCGCTGGGCCCCCCTGGCGGCGCCTCCGGCGCCGCCCCTTGCGCGCTCCGGGGGGTCCAGCGCGGATCCAAGACATCTGCACGGACTTGAGTTATGATGTTTATGTCATTGTTCGTTCCCCTAGCCTCGGCGCTCGAGGCGCTCGGTCGTTTTCGTGGGTGCCCGGGGATTGTCTGGCCTCCGGAGGCTTTCCAGCAACCGCGCTTCGCCGAAGCTCTTCTGGGGGTCCCGGATCGTGCCGAGCGGCCGTCACGGGCCCGAGCCAGGACCCTAAAGCCCAGACCCCTCTCAGTGCAGAGGCCATGCGCCAACCCTGTAGGCACGGCGCATGGGCACCATTGCAGTCACTGATCCGGGCTTCCGGCAGGACGCGTGGGCAGAAGAGTGCGATATCGGCACCCCTTCGGGGAAAAATGCTACAAGAGAGAGACGGCGCGGGGACCCGACTGTGAAGCAGACACAGAACACGCACTTCCCCCTCCCTGTTCCAGCCCCCCCCGATCGTTGCCCCTCAGAGCCGCAGCAGTCGGGAAGCCCTTCAGGGAGACGGCGCCAATCCGCCTCCCTCCTTGAGCTTTCCGCCCCCGCCCGAGGGAGGCGCTGCGAACCAAAACGCGACGTGAAGTTTTGGGCCACTCTAGACCCTCGCCGGGCCCCGCGGGCCGTCAAGAGACGGCCCAGGACGAGACACCAGTCCCAGGGAAGGGGTCTAGACCCTCTGAGGTCTCCGATATGAACAAATCACGACGGCAGAAATCTGAGATCAAGCCGAACGATCAAGGCACGCCGGTGCAACTTGTTGTGTCAGTATCGGGCTGAGCTTTCCTCCCTTGCGGGACTCATCTGACCCAAACTGCCGACTGACAGACGCCGCGCTGCCCTGTCGGCTGCAGTTCCGTCGGTGGTGTCTGCACGTCTTCGCGAGCGGCTCGCACGCTGCTCTGTCCAGAAGAGAAAGAAACCGCATGAACCATGAACATGAACTTCGGAAGGTCCTCCCAGGTCTCTTGGATCGGCCTCGGGGCCCCCTCCCTGGCGCGCGGTGTGCGCCAAGGGCGGCGCCAGACGCACTGCCAGGAGGCTCCAGCGCAGATCCAAGAAGTTCACGCGGACCGTCGAATATTTCAGGAGAAGGCAGTCAAACTACGCTTCTCGGCGGGTTTCCAAACTGCCTTGCGGTCGGAAGATTGCTTAGAGTGTCGCGGCGGCGGCCCCGGCGACACACCATGTCCTGCAAGGTGACAGCGTGTCACTCCGCCTCGCAGGGCGGGAGCTGAGAAATGATCAGCGTGTCGCGCCGCAACATGGTAGGCCAGAACCGGCGGCACGGCGGCGCGACACGCTGTGCAAACGTTCCGGGTGGCTTTCGGGCCATGGCGTGGTCTTCGGGTCGATCCAGGCACCCCCAGAATGCTTTCGGCGAGGCTCGGCTGACGGAGACCATCCCGAGGCTGGAACAGCGAAGCGAATCGAAGAGAACGTCCAGAAACCTCGAACCTCGGAACGTTCCTGATGTCGAAAAGTTCCCGACCGTAGTGAGTGCCCATGGCGATACTGGGATGGGCGCGGGGGTTGCAAAGGGGATAGGGGGGTATCAATGGATGCCAAAAATGGTTTTATCTGGCCTAATCTAGCTTATCCGTCACTGTGCCCTGAGGGGCGAGTTGGTGTCCCCAGGTCATTGGCTTAATCCCTTTATGCCTCAGTCCTCAATCCTGAGGATTCTCTCTGTGGCCATGACCCCGAATTGTCAAATCTCTTGGGGCGTGTCGCGTCCTGTCACGGTCTCGGGCCAAGACCGTCCTGGGAGGCCGTGCAGACGGTCCAAGGGTGCCCCGAATCGCTGCGCGATCGGTCCAGGATGCTCTGGATGGTCCCTAGACGGCCCAAAAAGCCTTCGAGGAGCCCCAAGAGAGCCTCAAGCGCCTTCACAAGAGGGCCACAAGAGTCCCGAATCGCTGATGTTCCTGAGGTTCTCCTATGATTTAAGGGTTCTCGACTCTTCGAGCTTCCGACGCCCAAGAAGAGTCCCAAAGACCGCCGCAAGACGGCCCAAGAGGCCCGCTAAGAAAGCCTCAAGACGGCCATTAGACGGCCCCAGAGGGTCCCAAGACGGCCCAAAGGCAGCCCCCAGAAGGGCCCAAGACAGCCGCCGTTACGCGGCTGCTTAACTACGCGGGCCGCCAGCGCGGCACGCTGCATTGGAAGCGAGAGCGCTTACGCGCGACCTTACGCGGGGAGCTCACGCGCCAGTGTCGGCGCAAACGACACCATTATTCCTTGCGTCGATCACTGGTTCATCCTGAATCGTTCTCTGACAATTCTGGGGCCCGTGGAGGGCCCCGCGATTCCGAAAATGGCGAAAACCTCTGGACCCGTCTCCCTCAGAACCCGCTCCCCCCATGACCAGTGCCGAGGACCGCGGAGGAGGAGGAGGAGGAGAAGGAGGAGGAGGAAGGAAGGAAGGAAGGAAAGAAGGAAGGAAGGAAGGAAGGGAGGAAGGAAGGAAGGAAGACATAATGAAGGAGGGAGAGAAGGGAGGAGGAGGGGCAGGAGGGAGGAGGGAGGAGGAGGAGGGAGGAGGACGGAGGAGGAGGGAGAAGAGAGGAGGGAGGAGGAGGAGGGAGGAGGGAGAAGGGAAGAAGGAGGCGGAGAAGGAGGAGGAGGAGGAGAGGAGGAAAGAGAGGAGGAGGATGAGGACGAGGAGGAGTTGGAGGAGGGAGGGGGCGGAGGAGGAGAGGATGAGCAGGAGGAGGACGAGGAGAGGAGGAGGAGGAGGAGGAGAGGAGGAGGGGGGGAAGTGAAGGAGGAGGAGGAGCAGGGGAAGGATGAGGAGGAGGAGAAGGAGGAGGAGGAGAAGGACAAATCTGATGAAGATGCTGCTGCTGCTGATGATGATGAGGAGGAGGAGAAGGAGCAGGAGGAAGAGACGGAGGAGGGGGAGGATGATGAGGAGAAGGGGGAGGAGGAGGAGGGAGGAGGAAGAAGGAGGAGGTTGAGGATGAGGAGGAAGGAGGGAAAGAGGGATGAGGAGAAGGGAAGGAGGGAGGAGGGAGGAGGAGGGGGAGGAGGGATGAGGGATGAGGAGGGGAGGAGGAGGGAGGAGGGATGAGGGAGGAGGAGGAGGAGGAGGGAGGAGGGATGAGGGATGAGGGATGAGGGAGGCGGGAGGAGGGAGGAGGAGGAAGGAGAGGAGGAGGTGGAGGAGGAGGTGGAGGAGGAAGGAGGGATGAGGGAGGATGGAAGGAAGGAAGGAGGGAAGGAAGGAAACAATGAGGGGGAAGGTGGGAGGAAGGAAAAAGGAAGCATGAGGGGGAGGGAGGAGGGAGGAGGAGGAGGAGGAGGTGGAGGAGGTGGAGGAGGAGGAGGAGGAGGAGGAGGGCGGAGGGAGGTGGGAGGAGGAGAAGGAGGAGGAGGAGGAGGAGGAGGAGGAGGAGGAGGAGGAGGAGGAGGAGGAGGAGGGAGGAGGAGCAGGAGGAAGGAGGGGGAGGAGGAGGGCGGAGGAGGAGGTGGAGGACCAGTGCAAACCCAAGAGTCAACGATGCTGCAATACATCCTCCCTCGAGGCTCCCACTTCATAGGCCCTACAATGGTTCATGTCCACTGAGGGAACTGCTCCGTTAGAAGACAACCGTTTAAAGACCATGAAGCATGCAAAAACATTGTTCTCGGGACTCCAACGTCACGGATCAACTTGTCTGTTGCGTCTTGACGATCCCGAATCGTGCCAGAACGCCAGTTCCTAGGCCCTAGGCTTTCAACACCGCGGATCAACGCAACTGTTACGCCCTCATAATCCTGCATCCTTCCAAAACGCAATGTCTGGCACGTTGATGATGGGAACCCGTGAAACTCTTGCAATACTTAAAGCGAATGTGCGCGGCGCTAAGGCGAGAGCCACATTTTAAAGAGGAACCGCCCTCAATCAGTGAAACTCTTGCATGTGTTCCAAACGAATGTGTGCGGCGCTAAGGCCAGAGCCTCATTTTGAAAATCACCCATCCTCCATCTGTAAAACGGTTGTCAAGTTTTACGCTTCAGGGCCATGAGTGGTGAGGGCGTCTCAGGCGAAACGCCCGGCCCCCACTCAACAATGTCTACGGTGTGCGACAGAGAGAAGTTATGTATAAGGAAATGGAACGGAGGAGGAGGAGGAGGAGGAGGAGGAGGAGGAGGAGGAGGAGGAGGAGGAAGAGGAAGAGGAAGAGGAGAGGAGGAGGAGGGAGGAGGAGGAGAAGGAGGGAGGAAGGAGGAGAAGGATGAAGAGGATGAGGAGGAGAGGATGAGGTGGAGGAGAGGAGGAGGAAAGATGAGGAGGCGAAGGAGGGGAGAAGGGAGGAGGGAGGAGGAAGGAGGGAGGAGGGAGGAGGGAGGAGAAGGAGGAGGAGAAGGAGGAAGGAGGGAGGGAGGAGGCAGGAGGAAGGAGGGAGGAGGGAGGAGGCAGGAGGGAGGAGGGAGGAGGCAGGAGGGAGGAGGGAGGAGCACGCCGCGGGCCGTGACGCCGCGCGCGGGCGCGCCTCCGCCGGCACGGTCGCGCAGGGCAGCGCCCGCTGCGCGCACAGGCCGCCCAGCGCCTCGACCAGCAGCGGCGCCGCCCCGGGCGCGGCCGCGGCCGCCGCCTCGGGCTCGTGCAGTGCCGACTTGACGGCGGCCCCGAGCACCTTGCGGGAGGGCAATTCTGACGAATCTCGGCGGACCCCCTCGCGGGGTGACAAGAATCGCGACGGGCGTCTTTTCGCCATTTGCGTGCTCCGGGGGCCCTCGCTGGGCCCTGGGAACGTCAGAAAACGGCTGAGGATGAAAATCCGGTCCGGGGGAAGGCGGTCCAGACCTCTGGGGGTCGACGTCGTGAAAAAATCAACACGTGGGGGGTCCGGGGAGGGTAATTAAGACGATTCTCGGCGGACAGGCCTCCCTCCTCCTCCCTCGTGATTCGGTGGCAACTCATGGGAGCCTCCAATACCATCTTGTCGGCTCTCGCGAATCGACGTTGGTCGGCCTACATCGACGCTCATCGACGTTACATCGACGCTATCCTACGCTACATCGGCGCTACCTCATCGACGCCCAGACGCTCATCGACGCTAATTGACGCTAGCGAGACAAAAGTAAAGGGTATGCCAGGCTCCCATGATTTGCTACCGAGACTTCGCGGGAGGGCAATTCACACGGTTCTCGGCGGACAAGCCTCCCAGGCGAGCCCAGAATCGGATCGATGAGTCGGATCGGCGATCGAAATGAATCGGATCGGCGGAAACCAGCATCCAAGTCGGGATAAGTCGAGTCGGCAGATATCTGCAGGCTTGTAAGCCTCCGTTGCGGAGCCCAGATCGGAATCCGAAACCAAATCGACTCGGAATCGGAAGCCATCGACATCGAATCGAATCGAATCGAATCGGAGGAATCAAAACGAGCCCCACAGGCCTCCCTCCTCCCTCTTGCTCCGCAGCCGCCCCCCTCTCATGCCCGTCCGTCTTCGAGCCCCGCGCCCAGCGCGCGGCCCACCAGTACCGACTCCCCTCGCCTAAGATCGCCGCCGCTGCCGATGAAGAGGTGGGGAGCGCATGGCGGGAACGACAGCACGTTAAGACGAAGCCAGGGCGAGGATAACATCGGGTGGGGCTATGTTGCTCCCATCGTACTTAAGGACCACATCCCAGAAATAATTTCGAGCACCCAGAAAGGTGTCGAAACACTGTCGAACGAGTTTCGCCTCCCAGGGCCCGACACGTGAAAACCCCCAAGTTTCTGTATTATCTGGGTGCTCGAAATTCTTTCTGGTGATCAAGGCTAGAGTAGGTTGGAACATCCTAAGGGTGGGGTAACATCGAACATCTCTGAGATGCGGCGGCTCTGGAGGATGTATCGGGCGCCGCGGCCTTCTCAGAGCGTTCCAGAACGCTCCGAGATCGTTCCAGAACGCTCTGGATCGGATCTATCCTCGTCCTGGCCACGTCCGAAAGGGGCACTCTGAGATCCCAGACCTCCGACGTAACGAACAATTAAACTCACAAATTGTTCTCTGTTTGGGGGCCCTCGCCAGTCCCCGGGTCCGTCCAAACACCACTCGGGATGAAAAACCGGCCCAGGGAAAAGGATTGGGACTTCAGGGGCCCGCGCTGAACAAAAACAATACATCGGATCTCTGAGATCCTGGCGTCTCAAGTTCTTCCACACCGGGCGCTTTCGCCCAGTTCCGGGCCCCAGGGCCCTCAAGGATTGATCTGGTGCAAAGTATGTATGCATCAACAGGATGTTTTCGCGATGCAGTATTTTTTCGCAGCTTTGGATCTCAGAGGAGGCGGGTCTGTGTATCGGCAGCGCTCCCAGAGGGGAAGGCAGAGGGGGCTGGCCTTTTCAGAGGGCTCAGGAGGCACCGAGGTGAAGCGGCTAGCACGTCTGAAGCTGCCTGGGGGCTGGGCGCCCAGCAGAGGGGGTCTGCGGTCGGAAACTCTTGCGCAGCGTGTCGCGGCGACGGCGGCGGCCCCAGCGACACGCTATGCCTTGCAAGTGGACGGCGTGTCGCTCCGCTCCAGTGCTCCAGAGGCACGGGCGGGGCGGGAGCAGGGAGAGGAGCATAGGGAGGAAGTCGGGCTGACGGTCGAAGGCTCTGCATTCTCGGGGGGAGCGGGCGAGCACGCGGCTCAGCCGCCCGCTGGGCACATCAGCGCCAACGAGAGCTGCGTGGCGTCCGCGACCACCGCCTGGGCCCCAGTGAAGTCCTGGTCGCGAGTGGAGCCAGTGTACGTGATGTAGCACGGCATGCCCGCGCCCAGCGCCGCCTCTAGGCCTATCTTTGAATCTTCCACCACAGCGCAGCGCTCGGGGGGGACCCCCAGGCGCTCGGACGCCAGCGAGTAGATCAAGGGGTCGGGCTTTTTCCTGCTCACGTCGTCCCCGAGCAGCAGCAAGTCGAAGCGCGCGAGCCGGCCGGGGCCCAGGATCGCGTTGAGCACCTCCAGCGCCGCCTCCTTCGTCGCGGCCGAGCACACCGCCGTGCGGAGGTCTGGGCGCGCCAGGGCCTCGTCCACCAGCTCCACGATGCCCGGCCGCGCCTCCGCCCTGCCCGCGGCGACGCTCTCGCGGAAGATCTCGGTCTTGCGCTCCTGGAGCGCGTCCACCAGCGCCTCCCTCAGCTCGTCCGTCTCTGGGGCTGGGCCCAACGTCGAGACGGGCCAGCCATAACGACCGAAGTGGTGGCGCATCTTGGGCTTCCCACCACCGACGGTGTTCATCAGCTCGTCGTAATACTCCTCCGACCACTCCACCCCCGCCTCGAACTCCTCGAACACCTGGTTGTAGGCCCGGCGGTGCATCTCCTCCGAAAGGAAGATGACCCCGTCGCAGTCGAACAGCAGGGCCCGCGGCGCCGCCGCGGCCGCCGACCCAGAGGCGGCCGCGGTGCGACGCCGCAGCCCCCGCTGGCGCGGGCCCCGCCGCGCGCCGGCCCGCGCCGAAGCCGCCAAGCTGGCCGCCAAGCTCGCCGCCGCGGCTGGCCACGACGAGGCCGCCGCGGCCGCGGCCCGCCCGCGCGGCGGTGTCCGCGGCGCGGGCGCCGGCCGCGCCGCGGCAGCGGGCCCGCGGCGCGGGCCCGGGCGCGCGCGGGGGGCGCCCGGGGCCCAGGCCAACAGAGGCATGGGCAGCGCTGGCGCGCGGGGGCGCCGCCGGCGAGCGGGCCGCTTGAGCCCAACTGGCTACGGACTCCGCGGGGCGGGAGGCTGGGGAGAGGCTCGAGACGTTGAAGCCTGGGGGGCCGGGGCGCGGTCGGCGTGTCGCGCCGAGGCGTGGTGGGCCAGAACCGGCGGCGCGGCACGCTGACCAGAAGTTCTCTGGCCGCAGGTAGGGAAAGCCCCGAGGGGAAGTGACTCGCACGTCTGTTGGCGGTGGGCGAGGGGGGGGAGTGAGAAGGAGAAGGCCTTCTCAGAAATTTTCTGTGTCTTCGCGGAAGGCTTCGAAAACTTCTCAGAAAGCCGGCCTGGCTGGCCGCCGCCGAGTCTGAGGCTGCAGGGGGGGGCGCCTCAACTGCCCCTGTACGCAACACGCAACCCGTTGCGCGTTGACACGGAGCTCCGCGCGTAGATTGCAGACATTCGTTTGGCGCGATACGCTCGCCAGACCGTGGGCCGAGTCGCTGAATCAACACGCAGCGTGTCAATACGGACGGCTTGAACACGGTCCGTGTTGTGTTTCCAAAAGGGCGTATCGGGGCAATTCAGGTGGGCGCCCATCAGAGGGGATCTCTTGCCGACCGCAGGGAAGGACCCGCGCGCCTGAAGCTGCCTCGGGGGATGGGGGTGGCGCCCATCAGAGGGGATCTGTATTGCAACCCTGGCGGAGGATGGCAACGATGACAACTAGCAATGTTATGGTGTGTCATCGTTATCGTTACCGTTGTACGTGGCGCAGTCTGGGAGCGAGTCTCACACGTGGGCCAGGTCGACGCGCTTCAGAGGGTACGGTCCGGTTTTTTTGGATAGCGTGTCGCCAACGCGGCCCGAGCGACACACTATGCCTTGCGAGTGGATAGCGTGTCGCTCCGCTCCGCGGGGCGCGAGGCTCGGACTCGGGACGCTGACGCTGGGGGGCGGGGAAGTGCATAGAGCGTCGAGCTGCAGCGCGGCGGGCCAGAACCTGCGGCGCGACACCGCGTAAGCCCAAAACTCTCGACCGAAGCATCAGCTGGCCTGGAGCCTGGAGAGAGGAGCTCTCCCAGCTCGAAAGGCCCAAGGATGCTGCGGTCTGGGGGTGCTGAGGCGGAAGACTTCCCCCGTGGTCACACCCCACCGTCCCTCACACGGTTGCCCGTCCGTGCCTTCCCGGCGAGGGGCGCGGGAGAGCCTGCGGCAGCGGTCTCGCAGGGAGAACGGGGAGGGGAGGGCAGAAAGGAGAGGGACGAGATGACGCAGGCTCTGGGCATGGATGCCTGGGAGGAGGAGGAGGAGGAGGAGGAGGAGGAGGAGGATGAGGAGGAGGAGGAGGAGGAGGGGACAGGGGCACAGGGGAGTAGAGGAGGAGGGGCTGTGGGTGCGCAAGCGAGTGAAGGCACTGAAGGGGCACAAGGGCACACACATGACCATACATAAGTCCCAAGACTTTCCGTCTCCCCTCCGCTTCCGGTACTTTCTGCATTTTCCTAGGAATCGACGATCATGAGCGGCAGGAAGATTGAACGGGAGGGGGCCTGAGGAACTGGAGGAGGAGGAGAAGGAGGATGAGGAGAAAGGCAAGGGATAGAGGGCGCTCCAACCTCGGACACGGCGGCCCAATAGGCAGCGCAAGTCTTCTTGCTGACCTCGCCGCGCTCAACGGCAGGAAGCGAATCGTCCTGCCCGCTGGTCCCTCTGCACATGCCGAGCTGGCGCCATTGGAGAAGAGCTCTGGAATCGCACACTCCATGCAGCATCAACGAGGGAAACTCTGCCGTTGTGACGTGGCTCGGTCTCTTTGATCGTTGGGGTCTGTGGGCCTTCGGGTGCGCGGCCCCCTTGACACCAGCATAACCCGTACTGGGGACGGGAGCAACTCCTTCGATGATAGACTCCTGTCTCTCCCGCCCACTCCCTCTCCTCCTCGTCCTCCTCTCTCTTTGTCTTTCCTATCCCTCTTCCTCTTTCTCCCCCCTCCCACACCCCCTCATCCTCCGCCTCCTCCTTTCCTTTTCAGTCTGACAGCTTCTCCTCCTCCTCCTCAGGATCTCCGTGTTTTTCTCCTCCTCCCAGCAATCATCATTTCTCTCTCTCTCTCTCTCTCCCTCTCTGTCTGCCTCTGTCCCTCTTTTTTTTTTTCTCTCTCTCTCTCTCTCTCTCCCCCCCTCTCTCCTGCTCTCCTCCTCTCTGTGTCTCGGTGTATCGCTGTCTCAGTGCCTCGGTCTCTCTTTTTTTGTTTTTTCTCTCTCTCTCTCTCTCCATATCTCTCTCTCTCTCTCTAATTCTCTCTTTCTCCCTCCCCCACCACCGCCGGGACAGGCAGAGGTCCGACTCTCCTGTCGCTGCCTTGCACCACTCCCCCCCCCCCTTGCCTCCTCCTCCTCTCCTCCTCCTCCTCCTCCTCTTCTCCTCCTCCTCCTCCTCCTCCTCCTCCTCCTCCTCCTCCTCCTCCTCCTCCTCCTCTCCTCCTCCTCCTCCTCTCCTCCTCTCCTCCTCCTCCCCTCCTCCTCCTCTCCCCTCTCTCCCCCCCCCCCTCCCTCCTCCTCGTCTCCGCCTCCTCCTCCTCCTCCTCCTCCTCCTCCTCCCCCTCCTCCTCCCCCCCCCCTTCTCCCCCTCCATTCTCTCCCCCCCTCCGCGCGCCCCTCAGGATGCCCTGGGCGCGTGCCCCGACCATCTCTCACGGGCCGACCCGACCTGCGCGAGAGGGGGCAGCGAGGGAGGCGGGGACTGGCTCGGAAGGGGACGCGCTGAGCTGGACTTTCGGAGGTGCACAGTTTCCCCCGGGGCCGTAGGCGACCCGAGGAGAAGGCGGAGGCGGAGGAGGAGGAGGAGGAGGAGGAGGAGGAGGAGGAGGAGGAGGAGGAGGAGGAGGCGTAGGAGGAGGGAGGAGGGAGGAGGAGGAGGAGGAGGAGGGACGAGGAGGAGGAGGAGGAGGAGGAGGAGGAGGAGGAGGCGGAGGAGGCGGAGGAGGAGGCGGAGACGGAGGCGGAAACGGAGGCGGAGGAGGAGGAGGAGGAGGAGGACGGGTCGCCTAAGACCTTCGGGGAAACCCTCCATTCGGCGGCACATCGCCGACGGATCGGCGATGTGGGCCCCCGACCGCGGAACCTCGCACGCTCCGCTCCTGGGCGGGGCGGATCATGGGGCCCCTGTCGACGAGGATGGTCGCTGCATCCTTCCCTCTGAGCCTGTCCCCTGGTGGCTTTCGGGTCAGACCTCGGGCCTCTGGCGGCCGTCGGGGACGATCCGGGCACCCACGGAACGCCCTCGGCGAGGCGCAGCCGCCGGAAGGCATCCCGAGGCTGGGAAACCACCGGGAGATGGCGAAAACGCCCGAACACCTCGAACCTCGAAACCCTCATCCTATGCCCCCCCTAACTCGGCGGCGAACCCGGGGGGGAAGAGCGAAGGGGCGGGCCTTCTCAGAAGGTTCGGAAGTTCCCTGGCGTCCTGAACAGTTTCCTAAGCCTTTCCCGAAAACGCAGGAATCTTCTCGGAAGGCGCGAGGGCCTCTGAGAAGTGCCGCCGCCTTCTGAGAAGGCCTTCTCCTTCTCACTTCCGCGCCTCGCCCGCCGCCGACGAATGTTGCCCCTGACTCGGGGGCAGCGCTCCGCACGAGGCTTAGGTCGGGCATGTCCTCCTAAAGGCGAATCTTGAAGAAAGACATCAAGAGTCAAACATGCGCACAAATAGTAAAAACAAATCCCCCCGTAGGATTTGTTGACCATTTTTGAACAGTCCTCCTGCAGAGGGATATGCCCGACTTAGCACGAGGCCTTCGGCCATCCTGGTCCCTCCCACCGTGGCTCTTCGGCCCCCCCCCCGCCCCCTCCCAGCGGCCGCATGTACACTTTCAGCCCAGGCAGGGGGCTTCCACCGCGCGCACAGGCAGCACCCCAACGCTCCGCCGCTGAAGCTTTTCCCGTGTGGAAATCCTCGGGGCTCTCGGCCCCTTCCCAGGAGCGGTTTCTCCTCCTGGGCCGTCTCTGAATTGGACGGTCCCGAGGCCCCTGCGACGGCCCTCGCAGGCCCTGTTGTGGCCAGACGCAGCCCGCCGCGGTCTGGTCACATCGAGAAGAGTTGTGGCGCGGACGGAGAAGGCGAACAAGACTGCATAAACATACACATTTGGCGCTCCGCGCGGATTTCTTGGATCTGCGCTGACCCCCCCCTCCCTGGCGCGCAGAGCGCGCCAGGGGGCGGCACCGGAGGCGCCGCCAGGGGTGCCCAGGCGCCGATCCAAGAAATCCACGCAGAGCTCCAACAGATTATGTTTATGGCATGTTTCTCTCTTCCCTGGGACCCGACGTCTCGAAACAAAATTGAACATCGCGAACAATCACGACCAGAGCCCCGGAGCCCATCTGTCTGCATCATTTTTCGAGCTGGATCGATCTACGAGGGCCGCCGGGCCCGAAATTGTTCGACAACGCCCGGCTCGAAAAAATTGCGACGGCAGGATCTCAGGGTTCCTCGATCCCCAGATCTCCGACGTTGGTGATTTTCTCGTGGTGGGTCATCGGACGCCTCGGCCCCTTCCCAGGACCGGCGTCTCCTCCTGGGCGTTGCTTGGGCGGTCCTGTGGCCCAGCGACGGCCCTCGTAGGCTGGAAGTGGCTAAGCACCGCCCGCCGTGGTCTCGTCACAGCGAGACGAGGTGTGGCTGAACCGCGCGGACGGGCAGCTCAGGGCCCAGACCTCCCCGCGTTGCAAAACAATCACGGCGGGAAGTTCTTCGTTATTTTCGGCCTCCGGGGGCCCTCGCCGGGCCTCGGGACTGTCAAAAAACGACTCAGGATGAAAAACCGGTCCCCGGGAGGGGGTCCAGGCTCCTGGGGGTCCATCGTCGGGGGGGTCTGGGGGGCCCCCCCCCCCTCCCCGGTCCACGAGGTAGACGGCCGTCTCCAGCGCCAGCTTCCAAAGACCAGCCTCCCTCAGCCCTGAGGGACCGTCGCTGCGGGCCAGCGCCATCAGCGACCTGGGGGGGGAGGCGGGACGAGAGGCGGGAACGCAGGAGGACGATCGCCGTCGTCTGTCGTCGCCGCCGCCATCGTCGTCGTCGATCGTTGTCGTGTTCGTTGATCGCGACCCGTCGTCGTCCGATCATGGTCGATCGGTCGATCGATCGTCATCGATAGATCATCGCCCTAGTGGGGTCCAGCGCCGACCCAAGAAAACCGCGCGGACCTCCGAAATATCGTCTGATCTATGCAACTGTTTCTTCGTTGAACGTCAGCGATGAGGCACATCCAGGCACCAAAGACTTCATTGGCCAGAGCGATCGATAAGCAACAAGCGTCGCAAGCGTCGGAATCTGCCCCGCGAAGACCTTACCACCATTCACGACCGATACCGTGGCATTTTCGAGCGGAGCTGTGACGAGGGCTCTTATGCACGGGATGCCTCTTTTTGCTCGATTCAGGTCGCAAGATGCACACGTCATCTACGATGTCTCTACATTACCAGCAGCCGGGCATGTCTACAACTCAACTCACCAAATTTCCCACATCATCGCACCGTCGTCCTGCAGGGCGACCGAATCTCTATCAGCAACTCCAGAACAGAAGGACTCCCAAGAGTTGTCGGCAAAAAGGCTGGCGCAGAAGATTCCCGTACCTCTCACTTACTGATCTGTGCGCGCCAAGCATCCAGCCAGATCCACGAAAGCAAGCCACCGATGCCCAAGACAGAATGGGCAACTGACCACTGGATTTGTTGTCATCACTCCAGCGTGCGCGGCGCGAGTGGACAGGGGAAGTGCCCCACAGTCGCCGCCATCAGCCTCTCCTCGCGCGCCCAGCCCAGGAAACAGGCCCTGAAGCTTCAATTGAATCGGTCCTGATGTTCGCACATTACCTCGGCCACGAAGACAACTGCAATCCGAGGCTACCCGAAAGTTCGAATCACCAGGCCTGCCGGGCGTAACACGGGTAGGGCGTAGTGTGATGAATCTCATCATGACGGGGAATACTTGACGGACAATGGACGTGTACGATGGCCGCCGTGCCAAACTTGGCGATTCGCCAGCAATGTCAAACAATGGCGGCAGACGGCACACACCAAAAACGCACCACGTGTCCAGCGGCGCAGTGTCCGACGGACCTCAAATATAACAGATGTTAGCTGGTGTTGGCCCCAACGAGTGTGCTTCTAGCAACCAGCGTGTTGCAATCTATGTGGTGCTAACCACCCTGACGAACTTAAAGCCGTCAACACCATGCTCGCGCAATCATCCCACCCACCCACCCACAATTTGGGTTGCAGAACTTTTGCTGCGGCGATTGTGATGACTGCTCAGCGCTGGCTGGCGCTTGGTCGCGTCAGATTGAAAGTGTTGAACGGCCGATGGTTTTCCCGAGGACTAAAAGAGAGCGCGCACCTTTTGGACATTTTTTGTTGCACGGCCATCTTATTTCATATGTTTTCGGGGCACTTGATTTTGAAATCTTTGCGGTACTTGCGGTGTTTGACGGACTGTTGCATGCGCGCGCGACGACGCGCGCGTGCGCACTTCGTTCCATTTTTGCATACAGCTGGGGCGATGTGCGCACGCGCGCGTTGTCGCGCGCGCGTGTGCCGAAATCTGTGAAACACCGCAGGAGTCGCAAGGATGTCAAGATGGAGTACCGAGATAACGTGTCAACAATCATGGATCAGCCACATGATTGATTATTCAACACGAATATTTGCGCGCTCGCTCTTGCGAGTTCTTGCGAAAACCATTGGGCTTCCAACACCCGCATCAACAACGACCACGCGGGTCGCGCGCATGCCGATATCATTCGAACGCCCTGGCGTGTGTGCTGGGGGTGCGTTCTGTCGATGCCATGCGGGCCACACGCCCCCGTCGGCCACGCGCGCATGTCGAAATCTTCGTAAGACCTTCATCGCCGACGCGTGGGCAGAATCATCGTCATCGGCGTGGTGAGCATGGGCGCCGTCATTGGCCCTGCCGTCGTCATTGTCATTGTCAGTGTTGCCGCCACGTTCGCTACACTTAGTCGCCATGATGGCGCGCCCGCCCGTATTACCGACTCCCACTGAAGCGCCCGCACGTCATCGCGGCCCGCGTGACACGCTCGGAAGTCCCCAGCGGCCAGGGCCACCGCAACCGCGGCGATCGCGTGAGGCTCGCTGGCCGCTCTGCGCGCGAGCCTGCGCGCGCTAGCGCGGCCGCAGCGACGCGCCAGCCAGTGCCACACTGTCAGTTTCATCCCCACCACATTGGGTTTGCAAACGAAGTTGCGGGTGGGTGGGATATTTGCGCGAGCAATGGTAGTGACAACTTCAAGTTCGGCAGGGTGAATTGCACCACGTAAATTGCTCCGGGTAGATGGCACCACACATTGGCACCGCAGATATCCTATACAAATCTCCCACTACTCCCGAAGCTTGGGTTACGGTCCCCCTGGGGATGTGCAGGCTACATACGATTATGGGCCACAGTTTAGTCGAATTAACAATGCACCCCACGCCACCCAGACCGAATTCGATCCGCCCCACCAGCAATTAGCCTGGCGAAGGACCCAACCATATGCAGTTGTGGGTATCGCATTCGGGGGAGCCCCGTATGGGGCCACGACACGCTGTACTGGGCGGGGGGGACGCATGCGAAATGCGCCACTGGGACCTTCGGTGGAGATCCCTATGGGGCCCCGAAATGCTGTTCTGGGTGGGGGGGGGACGCATGCGAACTGCGCCACTCGGACCTTCGGGGGAGCTCCCTATGGGGCCACGAAACGCAGCCCTGGGTGGGAGGACGACGCATGCGAACTGCGCCACTGGGGCCTTCGGTGGAGCTCCCTATAGGGCCACGAAACGCAGCCCTGGGTGGAGGAACCACATGCGGGCTGTGCCAGTGGGACCTTCGGTGGAGTTCCCTACGGGGCTACGAAGCGCTGCCCTGGGTGGGGGAACCGCATGCGGGCTGTGCCACTGGGACCTTCGGTGGAACTCCCAATGGGGCGACGAAACGCTGCAGTGGGCTGGGGAAGCGCATGCGGGCTGTGCCACTGGGACCTTCGGTGGAGCGCCCGATGGGGCTACGAAGCGCTGCCCTGGGCGTGGGGGACGCATGCGGGCTGTGCCACTGGGACCTTCGGTGGAGCTCCCTATGAGGCCACGAAGCGCTGCCCTGGGTGGGGGAAGCGCATGCGGGCTGTGCCACTGGGACCTTCGGTGGGGGTGGGGCTCCTGTACGAAGCGCTGCCCTGGGTGGGGGAACCGCACGCGGGCTGTGCCGCTGAGACCTCCGGTGGAGCTCCCTATGGGGCTACGAAACGTTGCCCTGGGTGGGGGAAGCGCATGCGGGCTGTGCCACTGGGGCCTTCGGTGGAGCTCTCTATGGGGCCACGAAGCGCTGCCCTGGGTGGGGGAACCGCATGCGGGCTGTGCCAGTGGGACTTTCGGTGGAACTCCCGATGGGGCCACGAAGCGCTGCCCTGGGCGGGGGAGTCGCATGCGGGCTGTGCCAGTGGGACCTTCGGCGGAGCTCCCTATGGGGCCACGAAACGAATGGGGGAACCGCATGCGGGCTGTGCCACTGGGACCTTCGGTGGAGCTCCCTATAGGGCGACGAAGCGCTGCCCTGGGTGGGGGAACCGCATGCGGGCTGTGCCACTGGGACCTTCGGTGGAGCTCCCTATGGGGCGACGAAGCGCTGCCCTGGGTGGGGGAACCGCATGCGGGCTGTGCCAGTGGGACCTTCGGTGGAGCTCCCTATGGGGCCACGAAGCGCTGCCCTGGGTGGGGGAACCGCATGCGGGCTGTGCCACTGGGACCTTCGGTGGAGCTCCCTATGGGGCTACGAAACGCTGCCCTGGGTGGGGGAACCGCATGCGGGCACCCCCACTGGGGCTCTCGGTGGAGCGTCCTATGGGGGGGGCTGCGAAACGCTGCCCTGGGTGGGGGAACCGCATGCGGGCTGTGCCACTGGGGCCTTCGGTGGAGCCCCCTAGAAGCGCTGTCCTGGGCGTGGGGGACGCATGCGGGCACCCCCAATGGGGCCTTCGGTGGAACTCCCGATGGAGCCACGCTACGCTGTCCTGGGCGTGGGGGACGCATGCGGGCACCCCCACTGGGGCTTTCGGTGGAGCTCCCTATGGGGCCACGAAGCGCTGTCCTGGGCGTGGTGGACGCATGCGGGCACCCCCACTGCGGCCTCCTATGGGGCCACGAAGCGCTGTCCTGGGCGTGGGGGACGCATGCGGGCACCCCCGGTGGGGCCTCTGGTGGAGCTCCCTATGGGGCTGCGACGCGCTGCCCTGGGCGTGGGGGACCCATGCGGGCTGTGCCACTGGGACCTTCGGTGGAGCTCCCTATAGGGCGACGAAGCGCTGCCCTGGGTGGGGGAACCGCATGCGGGCTGTGCCACTGGGACCTTCGGTGGAGCTCCCTATGAGGCTGCGAAACGTGTGATGGGGTGTGCCGAAAGCAGAGGCAATGAGGGGGAGGAGGGAGGAGGGAGATGGAGAAGCGGGAGGAGGAAGGAACGCGGGGCGCTGTCTCTTCAAAACGAGGACCCAACACCACAGGATGGTTGGGAAAAACACATGCGCGCACACTTGTCTATCAAAAGCCACGAATTTCCAAACATCCACGGCAAAAAACACAATGCGAAATGCACACGCGCGCTTCGACGCGCGGGCATACCAGAATTATTTGGAAACCGTAGGTTCCGCAGAAAGTTCAGAATCGAGAATCCCGAAAAAACATTAAGAACACATGGATTTGCGCGAACCGGTTATACAAACATCTGCGCGCACCCATGCGAAATCCAAAATTCTCTAACGTTCTCATCGCATACGACCAAGCGGCCCTCCCACGCGCGCATGTCGACATCATTAAAATGTCCTTGCGCGCGTGCTGAGGGGGTGGGAGGCACGATCCCCATCAAATCTCACCATGCGGGCCACTCGCACCCGTCGGCCGTGCGCGCGCATGTCGAAATCGCCACAACAATTTTATCGCCGACGCGTGGGCACCATCATCGCCACCAGCGTGATCAGCATCGTCGCCGTCACTGTCCTTGCCGTCGTCATCGTCATCGTCATCGTTGCCACCAACATCGCTACAATCATCATCGTGTCTGTTGTTGTCGACGTCGCCATGATACTGAGCCCTTTTCGAACCACCGACTCCCGCTGAAGCGCCCGCGCGTCAGCGCAGCCTGCGAGACGCGCTGGGTAGACCCCAGCGGTCAGCGCCACTAAGACCGCGTCGGTCGCGCCAGACTCGTTGGCCGCTCTGCGCGGGAGCCTGCGTGCGCTAGCACGGCCGCAGCGACGCGCCAACCAGCGCCACGCAGTCATAGCAATCCCCGCCGCATGGATTTTGCAAACCAAGTTGCGGGCGGGTGGGTAGGATGATTGCGCGCGCAGTGGAGTTGTCAACTTGAAGTTCGGCTGGGCGAAAGGCACCAGTTATATTACTCCACAGAGGTTGCCGCCTCCACATATACACACATATACACATACATATACATATGTATGGGTATATCTATATATACGTACACATACGGACACACATATATATATATATATATATATATATGTATCCATATTCCTCGTCCTTATATTTTCATAAGCCCGGGCGGGGAGACCCCCGCCCCAAAAACCGGACTCCCGGGATCTGGGGCTTTGGGACCCTCCTGACTGGGCTCGAAGCGGCCCCCGGACCTCCCAGGGCCTTTTGCCAAGCCTTCCCAGCACACCTAGGGCGATCAGGGGGGTCATCGATGACGTCCCAGAGACCCCCAATACAGCACAAGAGCGCTCCAAGAGTGACCAACGTGATCTCAAGATGGCCCAAGAGGCCTCCAGGACGGCCCCAAAGGCCTCAAAAAGCCTCCAAAAAACACCCCCAAGAAGGCCCCAAGAGGCACAACTCATTGATTTTCTGCGGGTTAAAGGTGAATTTTGGGGTTCCTCTTTTACGGCATTCTTCTGGGCGCCCGGAGCCGCCTGGGAGGCTCCAAAATCGCCCCACAACCATCCGAAAGGGCTTCCAAGCAGTCCAAGAGAGCCCCAAAACGGGACAACAGGGGTCAAAGATGGCCCTAAGGGAGCCCCATGGCGGCCCAAGATGGCCCCAAGACACCCTCCGAAGCATTCCAAATCGTGACCCGGTCGTTCAGGGAGACCGCGGTTGGAGGCAGGGTAGCCCGAGGAAGCCCCCCCCCTATGGTGTCTAGAAAGTGCCACGCCGACTGGCACGGATAGCGGCCGCGCTCAGGGACCACCCCCTGCGCACCCCCTATGGTGCCGAGAAAGTGCCACGCCTGCTATGCTTGGACGACTGGCACGGATAGCGGCCGCGCTCAGGGACCACCCCCTGCGCACCCCCTATGGTGTCGAGAAGGTGCCACGCCTGCTATGCCTGGACGACTGGCACGGATAGCGGCCGCGCTCAGGGACCACCCCCTGCGCACCCCCCACGCCTGCTATGGCTGGACGAGGACCACCCCTGCGCACCCCCTATGGTGCGCCACGCCTGCGCTCAGGGACCACCCCCTGCGCGCACCCCCGACGTGTCAGGGACCACCCCCTGCGCACCCCCTATGGTGAGAAAGTGCCACGCCTGCTATGCCTGGACGACTGGCACGGATAGCGGCCGCGCTCAGGGACCACCCCCTGCGCACCCCCTATGGTGTCGAGAAAGTGCCACGCCTGCTATGCCTGGACGACTGGCACGGATAGCGGCCGCGCTCAGGGACCACCCCCTGCGCACCCCCTATGGTGTCTAGAAAGTGCCACGCCTGCTATGCCTGGACGACTGGCACGGATAGCGGCCGCGCTCAGGGACCACCCCCTGCGCACCCCCTATGGTGTCGAGAAAGTGCCACGCCTGCTATGCCTGGACGACTGGCACGGATAGCGGCCGCGCTCAGGGACCACCCCCTGCGCACCCCCTATGGTGTCGAGAAAGTGCCACGCCTGCTATGCCTGGACGACTGGCACGGATAGCGGCCGCGCTCAGGGACCACCCCCTGCGCACCCCCTATGGTGTCTAGAAAGTGCCACGCCTGCTATGCCTGGACGACTGGCACGGATAGCGGCCGCGCTCAGGGACCACCCCCTGCGCACCCCCTATGGTGTCGAGAAAGTGCCACGCCTGCTATGCCTGGACGACTGGCACGGATAGCGGCCGCGCTCAGGGACCACCCCTGCGCACCCCCTATGGTGTCGAGAAAGTGCCACGCCTGCTATGCCTGGACGACTGGCACGGATAGCGGCCGCGCTCAGGGACCACCCCCTGCGCACCCCCTATGGTGTCGAGAAAGTGCCACGCCTGCTATGCCTGGACGACTGGCACGGATAGCGGCCGCGCTCAGGGACCACCCCCTGCGCACCCCCTATGGTGTCGAGAAAGTGCCACGCCTGCTATGCCTGGACGACTGGCACGGATAGCGGCCGCGCTCAGGGACCACCCCCTGCGCACCCCCTATGGTGTCGAGAAAGTGCCACGCCTGCTATGCCTGGACGACTGGCACGGATAGCGGCCGCGCTCAGGGACCACCCCCTGCGCACCCCCTATGGTGTCTAGAAAGTGCCACGCCTGCTATGCCTGGACGACTGGCACGGATAGCGGCCGCGCTCAGGGACCACCCCCTGCGCACCCCCTATGGTGTCGAGAAAGTGCCACGCCTGCTATGCCTGGACGACTGGCACGGATAGCGGCCGCGCTCAGGGACCACCCCCTGCTCTGATTACGAGAGCTCGTCCTCAAGATCGGCCACGCTGGTGACGATGAGGAAGAGCAAGAGAAAGTATGTGTCGATGTCAATTATCGTGATAATTGTCAGTGAACACCTTTTGTCCACGATATGAACGGCCGCGCTGTAGTGTGCGCGGTCTGCCTGGCACAGCCAGGCTCTGTCAGAAAGAATCCCGCCCTCCCTCGCCTTGAGCCGAGGGTGGCGGTGGAACGGGCAGGGCAGACGGGCAGGAGACAGCTGCTGCTCAAGCTTACTCCTGCGTATCTTTCAGACAGGGGGAAAAAGGTTCTGCCCTGTACCGTGCGCGCAGGCAATCTCTGCGCTCCGTGTGTGCTGCTGGACGAACTTCTGATGGGCCTCGATCTCCTGCTGCAACTTCTGGATCATGATCAGGGATTCGGAGGCCGAGAACCCAGTAGAGGTCGTCGAGCTGGAAGGGTTCCCTTCCATGCTGGCTGGTGGTTGTGCCTGGCGGGCCAACCTACGCTCCTCGAGTACCTGACGAGCTGAGGCCGGGTCGGTCGGGTCCGTCTCGTCGAAGATGCCCTTGCCAAGAGCTGCCCGCTTGCGAGCGCTCATGAACTGCTCGTCGTAGATGAGGCGCCACTGCTGCTTCTCGAGGAAGGCCCGGACCACTCCGAATGCCTGCCAGCTTGCCTTGGTTAGGCCGTCGGCGATCTGCGCGTGTGAGTGAACCCAGCGCACGACCGTTTGACCCTCGTCCAAGGCATTGCGGAGAGCCAAAGCCTTGATGGCTGTCCTCCGCTCTTCCAGTCCCAGTCCCGCCGACTGAGATCGCACCACGCCGTCGTAGAAGGCCTTGCAGTCCGTCACCAGGATGGCTGGTAATCGTCGTAGTGCTGCTGCGGTATCTTGCAGTGGAGACATATTGTGTAAAAGTTCGGCAAGTACCAGTCGCGCCATGCTCTGTTCGCCTTCGGCGTCGCCGGCTTCCTGCACCTCCGCCGCCAGGCTTGACAGAGCCACGCGGCGCAGCTTCTTGGAGCCCCAGTCGAGGACCGTGAACTCGGAGAGCTTCCCGTCCATGGCCGCCTTGGAGGAGATAGCGGTGATGTGACCACCCTGGGAGTGTCCATCCGGGCGGCTGGCCCAGGCTGCGTCGCACCAGGTGAAGATGGCGAGGTCGTCCAGGGCGTGCCGGTAGATCCTGATCCCCATGTGGCGGCTCTGCTTGACGAGCTTGACGATGTTGTTAGCGGCCGTGAAGAGGTTGTGAGTACCTGCTGGTATCTTCATCTGGAGGTCGGCTACCCACGATAAGAGAAATGGCATGGTATTCACGCCAAGCCAGTAGATCTCGCCGCAGAACGCCCTGAGCACCGTCTTGTCAGAGTCCTTGAGGCTGTCGGTGGTCCGATGCTTACTGCCGCTGGCCGCCTTGACCTCCTTGATCTTGTCGATGTACGACTTCTGGTGGAGGAAGAAGCCCTGCTCGCTCTCCTCGATGGTGACGCCGCACTGTTCGAGAGAGGTGAGCCCGTCATTCATGTCCTCCCAGGTGCCCCACTTGTAGAGCCCTCGGATCTGCTTGACCATGTCCTGCCACTCAGGGTGGGAGGTATCTCCTGCCATGATGAAGTCGTCGACGTGGGCCATGATCATACCGATGAGCATACCCGTCCTGGAACATCGTGCTTTCCAGAGGCAGGGCTCCAACTCGCAGGCTTGGAGTCGAAGTTTCGCAAAGTCGTGCTTGACCGTCTCCCACCAGTGCCGGGGCGCCTCGCCGATCCCATATCCAGGTTTCACGACCTGGAGGATTTCCCCTTCCTGCACGTGGAAGGCCTTTCTGAGGACGGCGTCTGGCTCGATGAAGAGGTCCTTGTCGAGGTCGTGGGCCTGCAGAAAGGCGGAGGTGACGTCGCCCTTGATGAGCTTCCAGCGGTTCGCGGCGGCCACTGTTAGCATCACGTGACGGGCGCGCCGAGACGCGGTGGGGCTGGCTGTCGGCTCCTGTCCTAGGTCCTTCGTCTGGTAGCCGAGGAGGACGAGCCGGGCCTTCGCCTTCCCATCGGACTTGCGGGTGAAGAGCCACCTTGCCCGGATGACGTCCGCCGCGTCCTTGACCCGAGATATCGGGACAGCGCGGAGTCCCTGATGCTGGACCCAGTTGTTCGTCTCCTTGGCGATGGCTGCCTCGAACTCCTCACGCTCGGTGGCGTTCATCTTGGACCAGGTCAGCTCCACCTTGTCCTTCCGGCGCTGGTTGACGACGAAGCTGTCCAGGATGTGGCTCGTCAAACCTCGGCGTCCGTCTGGAGTGGTATTCTCGTCCTGCAAGTACTCGAAGTAGACGGTCTGCTGTTCGTCGATGCCGAGGGTGATGTCCAGCTTGTCCTTGAAGAGGTCGACCAGGTGGTTGCTGTCGAACAGCGCGTCGGCCATCTCCTCGTCTGCGCCTTTCTGTCGCTTCTCCGGCGGTACGTGCAGATCGAGCTCTGGTCCGCGGTGTGTCATGCGCCATCGAGGTCTCGACTCGCCTCGGGATGCGGCACCGGCCGCCGATGAGGTCGAGGTCGCGGGAGGCGGACGCGATGCTGTTCGAGACTCCGTCCTGACTGCCGCTGAGGTAGATGCTTTCCCTGGCGTTCGTGATGGGGCTGCTGACCGGTCAGCTGCACGAGCCGGTGGTGACCGGGACCGTCGGACATCTGGTTCACTCGGTTCCACTTCAGGTTGCGTCGCTGAGCTTGGTGTTGGTGGCCTGGAGGAATCAGGAGCGCCGGGTGTGTCGTTGTCGGCGCCTGAGGGGAGTCCCGCCTCGCTGTTGTTCTCGAGAGTCTGGCCCTCGGTCGCGGGGATCGCCATCGTCGGCTGCGGTGGAGGCTCGTATTCTCGGAGGTCTGGAGGATTTTGTCCGAGAAGGTCTTCATAAGTACCGCCCTTGGCTGTCTCCAAGATCTCCGTCATGGTCTTGCCAAGGTTGCTCTGCCGCTGCAATTCGACGATCATCTTCTCTGCCTCCGAGGCGACGCGCAGCTGCTCCGGGGCGCACCTGATGAGCACGCCCCCGTGGGAGATCCAGATGACCGAGGTAGGACGGGCGCGCCCGTCCACGTGTCGTTTTTCCTGAGCAAGGACACGAGCAGGGCCGTACCATCCGCCCTTCTTCCCAGGGCGAGGGTCGAGGCCTTTCCCTTTGCGCCAGAAGTAGACGAGGTCCCCCGGATTCCAGGTCTGATAGACCCGGTTGCGGGCCTGTTCGGCGTGCCGACGACGCTCAGCATACTCTACTTCCAGGAAGCTTTTGCGCGCGAGGAGGCGCCTCTGCTCCTGAGTCTCCCCGGTGTCCCCGTCAATGATGGCGAACGGGTTGCTCGAGGCCGGCATCCCAGAGACGCCCATCACGTGCTCGAACAGGGAGTGGTTGCCGACCTTGTCCATGCTGTTGATCGCGCTCACGGCCCAGGACACCAACTCCTCGACCGGGCAGTCGGGGTCCAGCGTTGCCAGCTTCGTCATCAGTCGCTTGAAAAGCTGGATGCGCCTCTCGACCTTGCCCATCAGCCAGTGGGCCTCGCCCGGGGCAATCCACAGCTCGATGCCGCGGTCCGAACACCACCTGGCCACTGCTTGTGAACGATGACAACCTTCGGGGTCCAGACGGAGAAGGCTGGGGCGGCGGTAATGTCCGCACCAGTCATTCCATGTTGAAATCACCTCCTGAGTCGATCTGTTGCCATTGCGCTCTCCCTTCTGTCCATGATAGGTGACACTGGTGAGCCCGGATCCCTCGTCGATGTTCAACGTCATCAGGAAAGAGTCCTGCTTCGGCGAGAGCCACTCGAGCCCGTCGGAGGCCAGCACCTCTAGGACGCCTGGCAACTCGATGCCCGAGGCGACCCTGACGGCTTTTGGTAGTTGTCCCGCATGGCATGCGTGACACTGGAGGCGAAGAGCTGCTCGTAGGACCTGGAGAGGTGCTCCCGATGCCTTGAGGATCTTGTACAGCGTCTTGTTGCTCGGGTGGCCGAGGTTGCGGTGGAGCCGCGTCAGCCGTTGCTCTATCTCCAGCTCCTCCTTCTTGGTCGGTGTCTCGGAGATGCCCAGGCCCTTCATGACCGACTCGTCGTCCATGGCCTCGGGGTTATCCTGCAAGAGGTCCTCGTCGAGGGCCTCCTCCATCTCCTCTTCAGCGTCCTCTGGGATCTGTTCCAAGCTGGTGAAGATCTCCTTGCCGTACCTCGCGCTGGTGTTCGTCTTCAGGATATGCTTTGCCCAGGCCTTACACAGTGCTGGTGGGTAAAAGGCCGTCTGGGCCACCACCTGTCCGTCCTCGATGGGGCGGTGTGTGTGGTTGTCGCCCCTGCCAGGGCGGTTGGAGCACGTCCTGCCGAGCTCAGCGCCGAACTCCGGGTCTGTCGAGCATATGCGCCATGCCTTCCTCATCAGCAGGCCGGAACGAGCTTCGCGAAGTCCATGCGCACAGCCATGGATGATCGTCTCGTGCATCTGGTCGCGCATCGCCTTGATCGAGGGCGACCTGGTCCAGCTTCGGCTGGAAGCTGGCTGTTCGAGCTCGGTGTGGCAGTCGTGAATCTTCTTCGAGTCTTCCCAGAAGCTCTTGCAGTTCCGCTGGATCCGTCGGGCCTTGCGCACCTTCGCCAGATACGTGACCTTCTGCTGAGCTGTCTTCTGGTTGAGATTCTGGATAGGGCAGTCTGCTGTACATGGCGGGCTGAGAACCAAGCGGCGCGGTCGGGGTCGTCGGAGAAGGTGAAGCGCGCGTCGAAGCCCGGTTGCTGTTCCCATGTCGATCCCATTGAAGAGGCCGCACCTGAACACTTTGCCTCCCTGGTCCTGCACGGCCTTGCTGAGGCTCGAGCCCTCCGGACAGCACACCTCCATCAGGTCGATGCGGTAAGGCCTGCCGAACTCCGTCAGGTCCTCGGCGATGGTCTGGTAGATCTCGTCCAGGACCTTGTCGTGGCTCTCGTAGAACATATTGAGATCCTGGTCGTCGAGATGCTTCAGCGTTTCCTCTTCGAGTCCATCTCCGGCAGTTCCGAGTCGTCGAGCATCTCCGGAGTGAACTTCCAGCCCCCCTGCACCTCCGGGGAGTTCAGCTTGTTGGACAGGCGCCGCCAGCGTAGAGCCACTGCCTGCTCCCGGATGGTCACCTCCGTCGCCTTCGTACACGTGTGGCTCTTGCCTCCGCGGCAGCTGCACCCCCGAATCGTCTTCCCGAGGGTCCCGCAGCAGGAGCGCGCGGACTTCGGAGGTCTCGTCACTGGCTGAGCCCCCGCTGGACTCGGTGGGGCGCTGCTGGCTGCCGCTGCTGATGCCGCTGCTGGTGTCCCGGGTGCTCCCTGCTGAGGGGTCTTGAGGCACTGGTGGCTCTTGCCCCCGAAGCAGCTGCACCCGCGTTTGGTCTTCCCCAGAGCTCCGCAGCAGCCGCGCTTCCCCGTTGGGTTGTACCACTTCGCTGGGAGCGCCGGAGTAGCTGGTGTTGCTGCTGATGCTGGCGTCGGGGTCGCTGGAGCCGAAGTTGTCGATCCCCTCGTGCGAGGGCGGCTCCACTCGGGGCGGGCCGCAGGCACAGGTGGCGGCTGTTGCTCCGAGGATTGCCCAGCCCCAGAACCGTCGCTGCATGTCATCCAAGCGGCCAGTGGCGGCCTGGGAAGAATATGGAGGTCGTGAAAGACTGCTGGTTGAGGCTATTGCCGAGTTGATGCACTGAGCCGAAGGTGGCTGCGAACAGCATGATGATGAACACCGATGGTATTGTGCTGGCTCATCGCTTTGCTTTTCCATATTTTGATCCTGAGGCTTGCTTGCTAACGGTCCTCTTGACTGTGATGATGTCCCGATCGACGGTGATGATGAAGAGAGCCGGTCGGATGACCTGACCGTCCGTCCGAACGAAATCGAGGTTTCCGTCGCTCGAACCGATCCGCTCCGTGTCGCAGTTTCCGTCGCTCTGGTAGGTGTCCGCGCCGCCGAGGTTTCCGTCGCTCTGGTAGGTGTTTCGAACTCGCGGTGACCGAGTCGGTGTGGCCCCCCCGATGATGAAGTTGACAATCGAGATAACTTCTCCCCTGCTGCCATCATCAGGGGGCGCTGTCCCTAGCGTACCGCAGGGCAGCAGCTGCACGGAGCGGCCTCTTGGGGCAGCTCCTCGACCAGAACATCGGGCGCCGTCGCTTCGGACATCAGGCACCCGGCACTCGGCAAGGAAAGCGGCACCTCCCTCCACCACTGCGGCGTCGTCAGGTTGACGGCCAGATGGTTGCTCGAGAGGCGCTCGCAGAAGAACACCTTGTTGCCCATGGTCGGAAGGCCGGTCCAGTTCCGGCCGCAGTCGACCACAACCTTCAGCGAGTCAGTCAGAATGTCCATGCCCAGGAGGATCGGCGCGCGGTTCGGCATCACCGACAGCTTGACCTCGGTCAGGTCGCCGCCGAGGAACACGTTCCCCTTCACCGTGCCCATCGAGCTCTTCTGGAGGCCGTCGCCGAAGGTGAATGAGCACTCGTCATGTGTCGTCTCGAACTCCTGGCCGTGCTGGTCCAGCATCTCGTACATGAGGTTCTCGACGCTCTCGAGGCCGCCGAGGCTCTTCGTGGCCCCGATGTCGAGGATCGCCCAGATGCCGTCGCGCTCCAGGAGGTAGAGGTACTCGTCGAGGGCGGACAGGACGAAGCCGTTGTGAGTAGTCCCACGAGCTCCATCTCTCGTATTATCTTTCTTGAACCTCTCGTTGCAGTCCGCCGCTCGATGACCATATTCGCCGCACGCGATGCACTTCATCTTGGACATGTCACGTCCCTTGCCCGTGTCGAAGCGAGCGCGGCCTCGACCGTTCTTGCCACGGCCACGCTGGAAGCCTCGTCCCGGGTTCGGAGGCGGGGGCACGCGATCGGGGTCCTTGAGCGACACGACCGAGTAGTAGTCGCGGGACACTCGAAGGCGTCGGATCAGGTCGCGAGCGTCCTTGAAGCCCCTGCCCACCTGCTTGAACTCTGCGAACACCTCGTTGTCCGCTGGGTTGTCGTCAGCTGGCTCCTCATCTTCATCTTCTTCAGCGAGGGTGATCAGCTGCTCGACAACCTCTGTGAAATCAATATCTTCCCCACCAGTCTCGTCCTCAACGTCGTCGACGGGCGTGTCCTCATAGAAGGCCTTGCGGCGCTGCTTGCCGTCGAGCTCCGCCAGCGCCTCCGCCGGGAAGCGCGTGAGCAAGGCCTTGTATGTCTTGCCGAAGTTGAGGTCGCCACCTGCAGTGGCGGTGATCTCTCCACGTTGAACAGGGGATAGCTTGGACTTCCGAAGGAACCACCATGTCCGAAGAGGCTTCGCGATCACTTCCGTCACGCTGGAATCAATGACTTGGAGCTGCACCAACAGCTCCCGCTCCTTCTTCTCGAATCTGGCGGCCCAGTCCTGGAAGGTCTCGCCCGAGTTCCGGCTGACCTTCAGGAAGAACTCCTCCGCGAGGAGGCCCGTATCATTCAGGCTGGTGAAGTCCAGCTTCTCCAATACGTACTGAAACACTTTGTTCCAACCAATCAAAACTCCATCCTTGTCGATCTCGTCGACCGTGTCGATGTCCGGGCAGCTCTCCACCGTCGTCCGGACTCGCGCCCCGAGGGCGCGCACCAGCTGCGGGCCGCACACGTAGCGCTCCGCAGTCTTGATGCTCTTGGTGAACATGGAGACCTCAAACTTGTAGCTCGTCAACTTATCTGCCTCGCCGTTCCATGAGGGGACGTCGACGCGCGTCGTAGGTGGCCCGCTGGCGGCTGTAGTCGCCATTCAGGCCGAGACCGGTGGGAGCCCGTGGTTGTCGGAGACCACAGGCTCCGCTACCAATCTGATTACTAGAGCTCGTCCTCAAGATCGGTCACGCTGGTGACGATGAGGAAGAGCAAGAGAAAGTATGTGTCGATGTCAATTATCGTGATAATTGTCAGTGAACACCTTTTGTCCACGATATGAACGGCCGCGCTGTAGTGTGCGCGGTCTGCCTGGCACAGCCAGGCTCTGTCAGAAAAAATCCCGCCCTCCCTCGCCTTGAGCCGAGGGTGGCGGTGGAACGGGCAGGGCAGACGGGCAGGAGACAGCTGTTGCTCAAGCTTACTCCTGCGTATCTTTCAGACCTGCGCACCCCCTGTGGTGTCGAGAAGGTACCACGCCTGCTATGCCTGGACGACTGGCACGGATAGCGGCCGCGCTCAGGGACCACCCCCTGCGCACCCCCTAAGGTGTCGAGAAAGTGCCACGCCTGCTATGCCTGGGCGACTGGCACGGATAGCGGCCGCGCTCAGGGACCACCCCCTGCGCACCCCCTATGGTGTCTAGACAGTGCCACGCCTGCTATGCGTGGACGACTGGCACGGATAGCGGCCGCGCTCAGGGACCACCCCCTGCGCACCCCCTGTGGTGTCGAGAAAGTGCCACACCTGCTATGCCTGGACGACTGGCACGGATAGCGGCCGCGCTCAGGGACCACCCCCTGCGCACCCCCTATGGTGTCGAGAAAGTGCCACGCCTGCTATGCCTGGACGACTGGCACAGCGGCCGCGCTCAGGGACCACCCCCTCCTATGGTGTCGAGGAAGTGCCACGCCTGCTATGCCTGGACGACTGGCACGGATATCGGCCGCGCTCAGGGACCACCCCCTGCGCACCCCCTATGGTGTCGAGAAAGTGCCACGCCTGCTATGCCTGGACGACTGGCACGGATAGCGGCCGCGCTCAGGGACCACCCCCTGCGCACCCCCTGTGGTGTCGGTCGTGGATAGCGGCCGCGCTCAGGGACCACCCCCTGCGCACCCCCTGTGGTGTCGAGATAGTGCCACGCTTGCTAGGCTTTGCGCCAATGCCACGAGCTGTGCTGTGCCGTGCTGAGCTGAGCCGTGCTGGGCTGTGCTGAGCTGTGTGCTGAGCTGAGCTGAGCTGTGTGCTGTGCTGAACTGAGCTGTGCTGTGCTGTGCTGTGATGTGCTGTGCTGAGCTGTGCTCTACGGAGAGTGAGGTGTGTGTCGCGGGTGCGGCGCGGCAGGGAAGAAAACCAGAACCCCACGAAGCATGTGGGGAAACATGCGCAGGGCTTAGTGAGAACGAGGAAAGAGAAACATGGATGACGGATAACGAAAAAACATCATTGAAGCGGCGCTGCCGGAAAAAAAAGGCAACGAGGAGTTATCGCTAAATTGTCGGTGTGACCTTCCTGCCATTCCGCCTGCATACCAAACTTCAAGAACCAAGGTGCATGGCGCGAAGCGCCAGTGCAGTCTTGTGTATGTAAATAAAAAAATACATATCGCACCACCACCGAAATTACACCATACACATGTGTATATATATGTATATGTGTAACGATCGCATCGATTTCGCCACATAGACTGCACCATCTCTCTCTCTCTCTCTACATATATCGATTGCACAACCTGACTGCACAACGTGGGGTGTTCCACATATGGCGCATACCATAGATTGCAAGAACACGCTGTTTGCGGCCAGCGCTGGCGAGCATGTTTGTCGAACACCAACATGTTCTAACACCAAGAGTGTGTCTATTGTGTTTAAGAAAGACAGGGAATTCACCGATGCATTAAAACAGCACGATGTAGGCCAGAAGACGTTCTAAGATCATTCCTCGCAAATCACAACTCAAGTGTGGTCACATTTTTTGTGGGCCTACATAAGATACAAGCTCTATACATCGAGGTTTGTTCCTGTCCTGTGCTGACACTTGCACAGGGAAGCGGATCCTGGTGTGTACTGGGCCCTGGTTTAGACATGTTTTGTGGTTTCCCTGGCAAAGAAAGGGGCACACAATAGTACACCACACCACCCCGACCTCGTCCTCGACCTTCAGAACGTCCTGGGAATGAAAAGTAGCCCCACACTGGGGTGGGCGCGGGAGTTGCTAAGGAGATCAGGGGGCTAGCATTGGACGCCAAAGGGGTTATACCTGGCCTAGCCTAGCTGATAAGCGGGTTACACATGCTCCAAGTCGCTTATGGGGATTAGACAACTCCGCCAAGTGGGCGGAGCCCACTCAGCCGGGATCCCTATCCCCCCAAACCACTTGAGGCAGTAACCGCCCACTGCTGAGCTAGGTTGGGCCAGGTAGACCTCACCTTGGCATCCACTGGTAACCCCCCGATCCCCTTAGCAACCCCCGCGTCCATCCAAGATGGTTAGAGTTTTCTTATTCGGCGTTTCGACATTGGGCGGAAGGGGGAGAGACCCCACCCGCTTGAGACAGGCGCCCAAACCAGCTAAGATCTACTCCATAAGAGGGGTGGGGAGGGGGGGTGCGAGGGCCCGCGCCTTTCGGCAGAACAATTAGTCTGACGAAAGACCCAACCATATGCAGCTGCGAGTGCCGGGTGGGAGATGAGACGAAGGAGGGGGGCGCGCAAACTCCGAGTAGCGCACGCAGTATACCTTCTGCCACGAAACGTGTGAAGGGTGCGCCGACATGAGTCGGGAGGACTCCTGCGGACGCCCCCACTGGGGCCTTCGGTGGAGCTCCCTATGGGGGCCACGAAGCGTGTGAGGGGTGTGTTGAAATGGGGCGGCGGTGTTCTGCGGACGCTCTCGCTGGGTCCTTTGGCGGAGCTCTCCGTGGGGCCACGAACCGTGTGAGGGATGTGCCGAAATGGGGCGGCGGTGCCCCCCTGCGGACGCTCCCGCTGGGTCCTTCGGTGGGGCCACGAAGCGTGCGAAGGGTGCGCCGAAATGAAGCGGCGGTGCCCTGCGGACGCTCTCGCTGGGGCCTTCGGTGGAGCTCCCTATGGGGCCACGAACCGTGTGAGGGGTGCGCCGAAATGGGGCAGCTGTGCCATGCGGACGCCCCCACTGGGGCCTTCGGTGGAGCTCCCTATGGTGGCCACGAAGCGTGTGAAGGCTGTGCCGACATGGGGCGGCGGTGCCAAGCGGACGCCCCCGCTGGGGCCTTCGGCGGAGCTTCCCATGGGGCCACGAAGCGTTTGACGGGTGTGCCGAAATGGGGCGGCGGTGCCATGCGGACGCTCCCGCTGGGGCCTTCGGTGGAGCTCCCTATGGGGCCACGAACCGTGTGCGAGGTGTGCCAAAATAAAGCGGCGATTCCATGCAGTTGCTCCCGCTGGGGCCTTCGGTGGAGCTCCCTATGGGGCCACGAACTGTGTGAAGTGTGTGCCGAAATGGGGCGGCGGTGCCATGCGGACGCTCCCGCTGGGGCCTTAGGTGGAGCTCCCTGTGGGGCCACGAAGTGTGCGATGGGTGCGCCGAAATGAAGCGGCGGTGCCATGCGGACGCTCCCGCTGGGGCCTTCGGTGGAGCTCCCCCTGGGGCCACAAACCGTGTGAGGGCTGTGCCGAAATTGGGCGGCGGTGCCATGCGGAACCCCCCACTGGGGCCTTCGGTGGAGCTCCCTATGGGGGCCACGAAGCGTGTGAGGGGTGTGTTGAAATGGGGCGGCGGTGTTGTGCGGACGCTTTCGCTGGGTCCTTTGGCGGAGCTCTCCGTGGGGCCACGAACCGTGTGAAGGACGTGCCGACATGGGGCGGCGGTGCCCTGCGGACGCTCCCGCTGGGGCCTTCGGCGGAGGTTCCCATGGGGCCACGAAGCGTGTGACGGGTGTGCCGAAATGAAGCGGCGGTGCCATGCGGACGCTCCTGCTGGGGTCTTCGGTGGAGCTCCCTATGGGGCCACAAAACGTGTGAGTGGTGTGCCGAAGTGGGGCGGCGGTGCCATGCGGACCCCTATGGGGCCACGAACCCTGTGAAGGGTATGCCAAAATGAGGCGGCGGTGCCATGCGGACGCTCCCGCTGGGGCCTTCGGTGGAGCTCCCTATGGGGCCACGAACCGTGTGAGGGGTGTGCCGAAATGAGGCGGCGGTGCCATGCGGACGCTCCCGCTGAGGCCTTCGGTGGAGCTCCCTATGGGGCCACGAACCGTGTGAGGGAAATGCCAGAACGCAGCAGCGGGGTGCTGGGAGGAGCGCGGGAGGTGAGGTGAGGTGAGACGCGGGGCGCTCTCTTCGAAACGAGGACCCAACACCACAGGATGGATGGGAATGACAGGACGCCTCGCCGCTGCTTGAAGCGACGACTCGCCCAGGCGCGCGGCGCGCGGCGCTTGCCTCAGCACGTGCGGCAGCGACACGGCCAGCAGCGCCTCCAGGTGCGCCACGGCGTCGGCCCGGCCGCGGCACGCGGCGGTGCCGAGCCTCGGGCCCTCCGCCGCGGATCGTCGTCGTCGTCGTCGTCGTCGTCGTCGTCGTCGTCGTCGTCGTCGTCGTCGTCGTCGTCGTCGTTTTCGTCGTCGTCGAGACCGACGTCGAGGCCAGAGATGGCAACCCTCCTGGGGGCCATCCTGACCCGGGCGGCCATCGGGGAGGATGCCGCCGTGTCGACGCGAAGCCCCCAGGAGGCCCCAGAAGAGAGGACGAGAGGCTGGCACCAGGCAGGCCCGCCCGCTGTCCTCGACTGGCACTCCTCAGATACCGTGTGGCCGTGGCCGCAAGAAACCCAGCCCTGAAAACCCCCGGGCGCACGACGCAAGCGGGGGGAACCCCAAATACCCTGAACGCAGCAGCTCCCTCAGCGGTAGCGAAGTCACCGCGCAGCGCGCGGAGCAAAGAGGCCCAGGGCACCCTGACGAAAACCACTCGGTTTCCCGATGCGCGTCCCTACTGCACAGTCCCCGTGCTACCATCATGGACGCCGGGTGAGGAGCGAAGGAGCTTGGCTGGCCACAGCGAGCCTCGGCTTCGAGCAGGCTCCCAGGCCCAGATCGAAGGACTGGCCCGAGAACCAAAGCCCCTCTACGCCATGATTATATTTACTCACAGACGCCCCCCACCGAATTCTGCATGTATCGTTCGGGAGGGCGGGCGTATGAAGTTGCGGGCTCCCAATCATAATTTGTACCCCGCCACCTCCCCTGAGGCTCAAGACGCATCCATTGGAGGGTCTCCTTGCACTGGAGGCACACGATATCTATATATGTATATATATATATATAAACCTTTCTGGGGCGGACGATTCAAAACATTGGTTCGCGGGCCTTCGCGCCGCCGCAATAGCGGAGGGGCGGAACAAGCAGACGGAGGGTGGACAATCCCAGGTTCTTCGGAGGCCCGGGGGGGGGGGAACGCGGGCAGACAATTCAGGGCGGGGCGGCGGAACAGGCAGACGGAGGGCGGACAATCCCGGGTTCTCTGGGGGCCTGACATTTTCTTAATTGTTTGTCTCCGCTTGTTTTTCTTTGGCGGGCCCTCCCTGGGTTCGGCGCGGTGGCTGTGCAGGTAGGCGTCCACGAAGAGAAATCTCGTCATAAGGAATCTCGGGCCGCATCCTTGGCCGATGCCTGAAGGTCCTGAGGTGCCCCGGCGCTTCTATGGGCCCCTGTGGGATGAGGAGCTTCCGTGGGGCACCCGCTGGCAGGCCGATGTCCGACTCGACGCGTCTGCTGCAGAGAGGGCCGCGGCCGCCTGCAGAGGTTGTGCAGCACCACGCGCCGGCAGAACAGCACCAGCAGGCACATCGCACGCGCCGCCAAGGCCACCTTGTTCGTGTCGAGCAGCACGCGCCTGCCCAGTGCTCGGGGTGTATGGGGAAGCGGGTAACGGCGTGGCGGTGGTGGCGGTACAATAGAAGCCCAGACCCCCGACGTCATGATGTTTGTCATGACGTCGACCCTCAGAAATCTCGGTTTATTCCCCTGGACCGGTTGTCCATCCTGAATCGTTTTTTGACGGTGCCGATGGCCGGCAAGGGCCTCCGCAGGCCGAAAATTCTGCAAAACCTCCCGTCATGACTTTTTTCATTGCTCCAGGGGGTCTGGAAACATACGATGGGGAGGGGCACATTCTTCGTCGATATTTGGGGGCCGTAAGGTGCCTCAGAGCTTCTCTGGGTCCCTCGGGCCATCGGGGAAGTTACGAAGCTTCCATGGGCCGCCCGCTGGCAGGCCAGTATCTCATTCGACCTCCTGCTTCTCGTCCTCCTCGTTTTCCTCCTCGTTTTCCTCCTGCTCCTCCTCCTCCTCCTCCTCCTCCTCCTCCTCCTCCTCCTCCTCCTCCTCCCCTTCCAACTGGTCGTGCTCCTCCTCTAGAAGAGGTGACACTCTTGCGGCAGGAGGCCCTGAACAACTTTCCCAAGCCCGCGATGGGGGGCCACGATGGTCCACCGATTCTAAGGGCTTCGGGGCCCGGGCTCCCAAACCGGGCGTGGGAAAAGAGAGACATCGACCATTTACAGACAAGCTGCTTAGGGAAAACCTGCACGAGCATGAATTCTCGAAGGCCCGCGCGGATTTCTTGGATCGGCGCTGGACGATCCCTGCCTTTTCGCGCCCCGTGCGCATGGGGCGGCGCTGGAGGCGCCGCCAGGGAGCCCAACGCCGATCCAAGAAGTCCGCGAGGACGCACGAAAGTTCCGCGCCAATTGATTTGAACGCGCCCAATAAGACGAAGTCGGCACCGCGGCAAGCCCCACGGCGACCGAGGCGAAATTTGCCCTGGTGGCTCAGGCGTCCTCTCAAAGACGGAAAGCCGCTCGTCGGAACAAATGGCTCGGCGACATGTGTTTACATAATATTTTCCCCAAGGGAGGGGGCAGCAGGAGGAATTGTGAAAGAAGAGGCAGGGCAGGGGAAAGGCGGTGGAGGATGGGATGCAGTGGTGGAGCAAGGTGGGTCGAGCCATCGCGCTACCAGAAGGAGCTCTGACCAAGAAACAAAAGCGGCGATTCTGGCCACGGCGAGCCTCGGCCACGACCAGGCTCCACGACATGAGTTGAGCTATGGAGCGGCTTGACAAAAACAGCGCCACCCAAAGCCAAAAGGGTCAATCTGTTCAGTGGCGGACAACCTAGACATGAACTTCTGGAGGCCCACGCAGATTTGTGGGATCGGAGTTGGAGTCCCCCTGCCTGGCGCGCAGAGCGCGCCCCTATCGGCGATCAACGGGCGCTTGGGGGTCGATGCGCTCCCTCTGGAGCCTATCCCTCGTGAAGGGCTTAACGACTTCTGCCGCCCCGCGACGCGCGCTGGAGCGGCCACGGGTTGCTCCGAATTTCCCCGGAGGTCTCGGGATTCACTTGGACCTACCCCGAGTTGCCTGGACTTGCCTGGATCTATCGGCATGTACCTTGATTCATCTGGCTCCATCCCCTCAAGTCGATTGGCCAAACGTCGCCAAGCCCTCCAGGGATTCCTCCCTAACGTTGCCCCCGACCCAGCAGTCGCGGGAGGCGCCGGGGGGAGGGCGCTGTGAATGCTGATGCTTCTTCTTTGGTTCTGGGCAAAGGGGGTCTTTCGTAGTGGGATGGTAGTGGGAGAGCGAAACAAATTGCAATAGTTCATCCTGTGACTCATGGCGTGTGGCCCCTCTCACGGACCAACGGTGCCAGGTCAACGGTCTCTTATTCAGCGTTTCGACATTGGGCGGAAGGGGGGGCGGAGGGGGAGGTCAGGCTCTTGACCCCGGACCTCTGCTTAATGCGACAGTTTGCAACAGTGCGCCCTTTGGGGGAGACTCCGCCTGCTCGAAACAGGCGCCAAAAACTGCCAAAATCTGCTCTATTGGGGGGGGGAGGGGGGGGTGGGCGAGGGCCCGAGCCGATCGGCAAAATGATGAATAAGATAACGATCACATGCAACGCTTTCTGCCCGCAACCCACACGATCCAGCACGAACGATTGCACAAACTTTTGCGCACAATTTTGAGATCCCGTTTCCAAAGAGCCCATTCGCAAGAATCCGACCATGCTTCAACGCAACGCTGCCACTGGCGGGCACGCCGCTGTCTTACTTCCGCTGGCCCTCCCCCGGAGAGGTGCAGTCGACTGCTCGCTCTCTCGAGGCCAGTGCCCTGCTGGACAATCCCGTGCAGAACCAGAGCACCATGTGCCAACGTGGCGCGTGCCGCAACAGCGACGTCTAGATACCGACTGTCACTGGATATGTGCCGACGTCCACGAGCAATATACTGCATGTGCACTGCCAAACAGACATATGTGAGACTTTGGTTGTACAATTCTGGAGCGGGGGGAATTATGATGACTGAGCACATGCCAACACGAAAAGTCGCTCTGCATCCAGATGCTATGCAATCCTTCTGGTTCACTGCCGTTTGCTCCATGTCATGAATGCCCACATTGTGTTCACTGCTGCGTTTAGTCCTTGACTTCATCGCTCTTGACTGATATCGTTCATGAATCCATCTTACCTGTCCACGTACCACCGCCTCTGCCAAAACCCTCTGTCCTTGCATCTAGGAATACGGAACATAACATGTAGAGGAAGAACACCTGCGCGGCTCTCAAGGCATCGCGCGATCGATGGAATGGAAAAAGCGAGCTGAACGCGAAAAGATGTGGACTGAAGCTCGCGAAATCAGGTATGGCCATGGAGAGGAATCACATACACCCGACTCGGCGCATCGAGACGGATTCAACATCTTGGGAAGGGATGGGTGAGAAGGTCGGATGCCAGATGTGGTGCGAGCGCGCAGCTTGCCTCTTTCTCTCTCTCTCTCTCACTCCCCCTCTTCCTCCCTCTTCCCCCTCTCCCATCCCCTTTCCGCATTCATGCCCCCCGTCTCCTGTCTCCTAACACTTGGAGGCGATTGGGGGCTCGAACTCTGTCAGGAGGGGGATGATGCCAAAATCCATTCAACAACTGTCCCTGGAACTCTCCTGGGGTGCATCTGGTGTAATTTTTCGCCGCGGATCCGTTTCTGACGGTCCGTGGCCCGAAAAAGGCCCCCGGAAACCGAAACGGTTCTATGTTCGGTGATTGTTTCTGCCTCTTTCGGCGGGCAAATTCGAGGTCACCTCGAACCTGCCCGCCCTTCCTGCTAGCCGGAACCAGTGGTGGGCCACCTCAGACCCCCAGACGGCTCCAACAAACACCTCTCTTTTTCAATGGGGATGGGCGCGGGGGGGGTTATCAGTGGACGCCAAAGGGTTACACCTAGCCTAAGCTTGCTTATTAGGGAGTTGCTAATGCCCCAAGTGGCTTGGGGGGATAGCGATCCAGGCTAAGTGGGCTCCGCCCACTTAGCGGAGCTAAACCCCCTACGCCTCTTGGGGCATTTGTAACCCCCCTATCCCCTGAACAACCCCCGCGCCCATCCCAGCACCCCCTCACCCGCTCCGACCCCAAAGTCCCCTGGCGCGGTCGCCGAGGCACGTGTACACTGCTAGTAGTGCGGCGTTCCCGCTATACCCGCCTCTTACGAAGTGGCCGAGAGAACAAAGAACAGGAACACATCACCTCCTCCTCCTCCTCCTCCTCCGCCTCCGCCTCCTCCTCCTCCTTCTTGGGCGCTTCCATGGCCCCTCTTGGACGCCCTTGGCTGCTGCATGTCCGGCATCCGCTGGAGCACCGCGCTCGTCCCCGTGGGCCAGCATGCCCGGGAGCGCCGCCGCCACTGCGTCGAGCGCGGCCCGGCCCCGAAGCGAGGTGATCGGAACTTGTGAATTCTGGCGTGGCCGCTTCTGTGCATGGGGCGGGGTTCGGGCCAATCGCTCGAGAAACTCTGTCGCCGTCTCACACCCGTCTGTGGTCCAAGCCTCCCGGCCTTCGAACTCGACACCTCTCCTTCCACGTCAGCGGTCGTGAGCCCAACGCGGAGGCACGTGCTCCAGGGGGGAGCAGTGCGAAACAGGAGGAGGGATGATGAAAACAACCGAGAACTACGACCTCCGATGTCGTGTTCACTCACGACATGGATCCCTTTCCCGGGACCGGCTTTCCATCTCCACCCGTGTTTGACGGCTCCTGGGCCCGGCAAGGGCCCCTGCACGCCGAAAACCAGCAAACACCTCCCGCCGTGATGTCTGCGGAACTAAAAGAGGTGAATTTCTGCGCTGGCGGTCGTTCGGGACGACCCGGGTGCACGCAGAGCGCTCTCGGCGAGGCGCAGCTGATGGAAAGCAGCCTACGGCTAGAAAACCGCCGAGAACAGACGAGACCGCCCGAAAGCCTCGAGAACCTTTGAGGATCGCTCGAAATTGTCTCCTCCTTCTCCTGTTTTGGCCCCCGTCCCTCGGGGAGACATTGGACTCGGGGAGACGTTAGACTCGGGTTCGGGGGACTCGGGTTGGCCTGACGGGGCCATCATGCACATGCCGAGACCCAACCTGCAACCTGACGCGAACTCCCGCTGAAGACATCCCACGAAAACTGGACCGTCAAAAAAGCCAGGACGCGCTCGTCCAAAAATGTCGGCAAACCCGAGCTCTGGCGCACTCGACTCGCACGTTTCCCCGATCCGTCCTTCCCCGAGAGCCCACGGGACCGTCTGGACACGCCTCGAGCCCCCGAGGCGCGAGGAGAGGGCGCACTGGGAGAGAAGGGCGCCGCACTGACTCTTGCCCGTCTTCCCGCCGCTGCGTACCGAGGTCCTCAGTACCCGTCGGTCGGAAGGAGCGGGTAGAAACATGAAGTAGGACTGCGTCGAGGATAGATTGGGCTTCCGCCCGCCTCCCGCCAAACGGAGGCAAAACGAGGAGAACATCGGGCAAAAAAACATGGATAATCTCCGAGATCCGGCAACTTTGGAGGATGTCTCGGGCGCCGCGTTCCGGAACGCTCTGGAACGGATTTATCCTCGTCCTAGTCCCGTCCGGATACCCGTCGGTCGGAGGAAGTTGGTGGAAACATGAAGTAGAACGGCGTTGGAAATACATTGGATTTCCGCCCGCCCCCTGAGCAAGAGAACGAGCGAACGAACGCCGGAATCGTGCGCGCTCCTTGAGGGAGCTCGCCCCTGCCCATTTGGGCATGGCGTGGAGGCCGTGGCCACAAAAATGTGAAACGTAAGCGAACTCATGTGAAAACCACCATTCACTGTTCCCTTCCGCCGATAAGCATCGTAGGTCGTTTTGTGTTGTTTTGTTCGTTCCGTCTCGGCATGGTCGCTGCCCGGATTTGGTCCCGTTCAGCGTCGGCGTCGCAGCATTGCCCGCCCAAACTGTGCACATACTTCCGGATAGCGTCTTCCCATGTTGTTGGTTGCCTTCCGTGTTGCCGGCATCCTCGTTCTCGAATATTGAACCTTGAGTTCTAACTCTTCAGCGCTCTTTGCGTCTAGCGCGTCGGCGCGTGGTGAGCCGCAGTGTTCGCCCATCGCCAGACCATTTGGTTGTGGATGTGTAGTGCATCAGGAATGTCATGCTTGAGCATCAATGTTTTTGCTTTCCGCGTGCTCCTTCGTACGAAGTCGGCCCACGAGTCGACGTCGTCATCCTGGATAGTGCCTGGCTGTGTGCCCTCGTCATTGCTCACCTCGTCCTGCGCATCTGGCTGGTAGATGCGTGGGTTGCTGCAGACGTCGGATTCGTTGGACTCGGTTGGGGAAGTGCTGCTGGTGTCGTGGTTGTTGCGTTGTCCCGTCTCTGTATTGTGGTGCGGCGTCGGCGTTACTGTCGTGCGTTTTCTTGGTGTTCCACTTATCAACATGACCATCCGTCGCTGAGCTCGGCGTCGTCCCACCAGCTCTTTGGGCGACAAGTGGTCTACGGGCGATCTCTTTCTTCTTCCACAACCCCTCTTCCGTTCGGGGAGGGGAACACTCCCCCTCCCCTCCCTGGTTTCCTTTTGGGAAGGGGGGGGCCGATGTGTCAGAGGGTCATTCTTCGGCCAGTGGGAGGGCCGATTTTGGACACGGGGGGGGGGGGCAGACATCGAGGACCCCCTTTTTTGGACCGGCCGCCTTCCAGATGGCACCAAGAGGCCCTCCAGGGTTCCTAAGAGGCCCCCAAAAGAGCTCTTAGAAAACCCCAAAAGTCCCTAAGAGGCCTCCAAAAGGCACCCGTGAGGCACCCAAGGGGCCCCCGAACGGCCTCAGAGAGCCCAAGATGACCTCCAAGATGACTCAGGATAGCCCAAGCTGGCTCAAGGTGGCTCCCAACATGCTCCACGGGAGCCCTTCCCTCGCTGTTTGACTATGCGTGTCTCTTCCTCTCTCCCCCAGTCAGCTCTCCATGGGCATCGTCTCTGGATGGGCTGGTGGGGATTTTGTCATCGCGACCGCGGCGAAAGAGGTCGGGCGGCGTCCAGGAGCGATGCACACAGGCAACGGCCTAAATTCGCGCACAGGGAGAAGGAGGGACGAACAGTGACACAAGACCAAGCAAGAGGAAAGGCTAACAGGAGGCAAGCCTCGCTGCCGCTCACAAGAGAGCGCACGCCAGGAAATCCTTCCGGGCGGCGTGCAGCACCGGGTGGAAATTCGGGTAGCCAATCACGTCCCTGACGCGGGAGGCCGCCACCATGACGCACAGCAAGCCCAGGGCAGGACGAGGGACGCGGAACGTATGACAGCAAGCCACCGTCTCAGAGGAAAGACTAGGCATGCGGGCGCTCAACGGACTGGATCCGGATCGCCAGACACCGAGGGGTGTCGGGGTGGCAGTCTGGGCGGGTGCGAACAGACCACGCCGCAGGTGGCGGGAGGGAACGGCCAGAGGACGGCAGGGCGAAGCAGGGGGGGAGGCTGTGGGTGCCATCAGGCGGGGGCGAGCAGCCCGCGCCGCCAAGGTGGCGAGAGGGCTCAGAAGGAGGACATGGAGGGGTGGCGCCGAAAGGGCGGGCGCGAGCGGCACGCGCCGCCCAGGAGGCAGGAGAGCCCAGCCTGAGGACTGACACGGATGAGCAGCGCGGTGGGGGAGGACCAGGTGTCCGTCGACCCCGTGCGGGAAGAGAAGGTAGAGGGCTGGTGAGGATACTTTTTAGTTAGCGGCCGCAGGCGAGAGCGCCAGCGGCGAGTCCAGTCAGAGCGGGCCGCACAAAGACGAATTAGCCTAAAGCGGTGGGCCGAAGCCTCACGCAGCACCTCGGCGGGCAGACTGGTGAGGATACTTTTTTGGGGTCGGCGGCTCCGAGGCGGCGGACAGGGAGCGGAAGGCGTCGTCTGGGCCAGCAGGCGAGGCTAATTAGCTACAACAGGCAACACACCTGCAGTAATAAAACGCAGAGAAAGCGCATGTGCACATGCAATAAGCAAAATGCTCCACATTAAGGCGAACGCACCTAGGCGCCAGCCGCACAGAGGTGAAGCAGCCGAAGTGCTACGCAGCGGAAGAGTCGCCCTGTCGGCGCCAGTCCGCGCAGCCAACCAAGCCGATCAGGCAGGCAGCACCGAAGCGACACGCTGAAGGCTGAACCACTCAGCGCGAGGCACCACCGCCGTACGCGGGGTCGGCTGAGACAGGGCAGGGACCTACACAGAGCTCTCACGCCACGATCCACACCGCTGCCCATGGTGGGGCTGGTGCGTCACCATCGTCTCCGAAACCAGTCACGGGCCAGGAAGCAACGATGGAAGCGGACACGCAGGCCCAAGCGCCAATACTGCCGCCAAGCGGGTAACGGCCGAAAGTCGCCGAGGTACGCTGGAACCGCGGCCAGCACATAGGCGCTGGGGTGTAGTCATGGCTGAAACGGACCACAGAGAGAGAGAGCCGGGGGACGGCAAGTACCAACCGAGCACTCACTCCGCGGACCGCACTGCTGCCCGGGGGGGGGGCGGTGTGTCGTCATCGTATCCGAAACCAACTGGTGAGGATACGCGAAGCGTCAATCATTGCTGTTTGCGAAGCTCTGTCAGAGTCCACGTTTGTGCGCCGTACACAGTAGGTATGGCGACACCTCTGTACAATCGTAGTTGATGTTTCAATGGGTAGTGCTTGCCAGTGGATTCTTGTCTGCGGTCGCTGAAGCACGCCCATGTTGTCCGGATCTGGTGTCTTACTTCGGTCTTGGGGACATCGCGGGGAATCATAGTTCGGCCCAGGTAGGTCATGGTGCTGACTCGTGGTAATAATTCGATGTCCATCCCACCTATTCTGACCACCCTGTCGCGGTGCCGAGGCGGATTAGTCATGATTTTGTTTTTTGTCGGGCGCAAGGAATAGGAGGGAATATGGGAAACCGTTCGACCTTTGAAGTAGGAAGGCGGCTAAACTATGGGGTAACCTGGGGATGACAAAATACCTACTTCCAACGACAGGCGTGCATTTGTCTCTGGTACTTCGCCCAAGTCGTTGTTGTTTAAGATTTCGCATGGGCGCAACATTCGTACAGCTTGCGTCCGATCAACGCGGAAGAGAAAGGGCGCCTCGAGAGCGGGCTGCGGGAAGCCCTGCGCTTCCTCCAGCAGGCCCAGGGCGAAGCCCTGCACGTGCTGCACCCGCGGCGCGGAGACGTGCAGCATCGTCCTCGCAGCCGGATTTTCGAGGGCTTAACTTCACGGCTTCTGCCGTCACTCCACTCGCGCTGGAGCGTGCACGGATGGATCCATGTGTTCAGCCGGAAGTCTCTGGACTTGGCTCAATGTGTCAGAATCTCAACGGATCTACCCACCTTGGCTGCCTCGATGCGCAACACGCAACATCTAGCGTGCTTATACAGAACTTCACACGTAGGCTGGACAAACGTAGGTCTGGCACAATACGCTCGCTAAAACGTGCGCCAACCGGTGTTGAGCCAACACGCAGCGTGCTATCACGGATGCTTTGAACACGGTACGTGCTGTGGGCGCACAAGGGCAACTACCCAAACATCCTCCGATCTGAGTTTCTCAATCCGCGGCCCTGGTCCCGATTCCTTCCCTGGGGGTGGTTTTGCGTCCCGGACGTATTTTTGATGGTCCCGGGGCCCGAGGAAGGCCCTTGGAGGCCGAAATCAATGAAAAACGCCGGACTGAAACAATCATTCCCGCCGCTTTTTGACCTGACCTGCTCCCCACAAATCGATGGGAGAAACGGCGCCAGGCCGTCCGGGAGCAGAACGGGCCCTGCTGCCCTCCACGGCTCGGCGGGGGCGAAGAGCCAGCCCGGGAAGTGCCAGGGGCGTCTTGTGCTCTCCTCCTCCTCCTCCTGCTGCTTCTCCTCCCCTTCGCCTCCCTCTCCCCCTCCCCGGCCCCCTCCCCATGTTCCTCCTCCTCCTCCTCCTCCCACTCCTCTTCCTCCTCCTCCTCCTCCTCCTCCTCCTCCTCCTCCTCCTCCTCCTCCTCCCCTCCTCCACCTCCCCCTCCTCCTCCTCCTCCTCCTCCTCCTCCTCCTCCTCCTCCTCCTCCTCCTCCTCCTCCCCCTCCTCCTCCCCCCCCTCCTCCTCCATTCCTTGTCCTGATGAAGAACTAACTTCTCCCTGCCCCTCCCCGAGGCCAGTTTTTAGGGCGGGCCGGGCGTGTCGCCTGAGACTTCCTCACCACTTATGAGCTCTCAAGCTTGAAAATTGGGAACAACTTCGCAGATGGAAGGCGGACCGTTTTCAAAATGTGGCTCTCGCTTCAGCGCGGCGCACATTCGTTTTAAACATTGCAAGAGCTTCACGGATAGAGGACGGGTGGTTTGATAACTGTCTCTCTCGCCTCAGCGCGGCGTGCACTCGTTTGAAGAAATTGCAAGGGTTTTGCGGATTGAGGGCGAGTGCTTTTGAACATGTGGCTCTCGTCTGGGCGCGGCGTATATATTATATATATATATACATATATATATATATATAAATAAATAAACATGTTCAAGAGTTTCACGGAGTGAAAGCGTGTCGTCTTCAACATGTGGCTCTCGCCTTGGCACGGCGCACAGTCGTTTCTACAACATTGCACGAGTTTCACGGATTGCGGGCGAGTGATTTACAAAACGTGGCTGTCGCCCTAGCGCCGCGCACATTCGTTCACAAAAGTTTCAAGAATTTCACGGATTCCAATCATCAACATACCAGAATTGTGTTTTTGGAAGGATTCAGGATTATGCGGGTGAAGCAGTTAAGTCGACTCTCTGTGTTGAAGTCCTAGAAATGGCGTCCTAGCACGATTCAGGATCGTCAAAACGCAACAGTCCGGTTGATCCGTGGCGTTGGGATCCCGAGAACAATATTTTGGCATGCTCCAGGGTCTTGAAACGGGTGTTTTCCAACGAGGCAGTTCCATCAATGGACATGAACCTTTGTAGGGGCCTATAAAGAGGAAGCTTGGAGGGAGGGTTTACTCCAACATCGTTGATGACTCTTTGGTTAACGCTGGTCCTCCTTCTCCTCCTCCTCCTCCTCCTCCTCCTCCTCCTCCCCCGCCTTCTCCTCCTCCTTCTCCTCCTCCTCCTCCTCCTCCTCCTCCTCCTCCCGCCTCCTCTCGGTGGCGAGCCCAGGGGGGAAGTTGGGGGGAGGGGGGGGGGCGAAAGGGTAGGATAGCAAAGGGCAGGGCAGAGAATCCGCTCACGCAGCTGGTTTTCCCTGGCGCTTCCCGGCGCCGGGAGGCGCCCAAGCATGGCGGAATGGGTCCGGCGGCGGGGCTGAAACCAGCTGCCTGCAGCAGACTTCGTAGCCCCCCTTCCCATATATTCTGCCCTACCGCCCAGCCCGAGAAGTGGGGGGGCCGGCGGGGCAGAAGCCCCTGGCGGCCCTGGCGCCCTCGGAGACATGTTCTAAAACCCTGCTCTGGAGATATCTAGACCCAGACATGCTCGCGTCCAGGAAAAATCAAGACGGGAGGTTTACGGCCGTTTTGGGCCCCTGGGGTCCCCGACCGGGACCCGGGAACGTCCAAAACGACTCAGGATGAAAAGCCGGTTACGGAGAAAGGGTCGGAACTTCCAGGGGCCCCGTACAGTGGATGCCAGTCCACAAGAAGCGTTCCACAAGAAACCCAACCCTGAGACCCCAGGACGTCCATTGATTTTGAGTGCGGGAGCGCCACGCTTTCCATAGCAAAACCATCAAACCCAAGAGGCCCAGAGCTCCCTGGAGGCAAGCAGGGTGTTTCTTGGCTTGGGCCTCCACTGTATCGAGCAAACTCAGGGCGTCGCATGTATGGGGCAGACTGCTCCGAAGGCCAGGGCTTCTGAGAAGCCCCGTCGCCTTCTGAGGAGGCCCGAGCCCTTGTGCTCCTCCCCCCGGGCGCGCCGCCGATCGTCCTCTCGGGGCTTTTACGATCTGGAGGCGGCCGGGGGGTCTGAGCTGGATGGGCTCAGCTCGGGCATGCATCCGCGCCCTCACCGTCCGAATTCGGGAGCGCGGACCCGCGGATACGTGGTCGCACGGATACGGTCCGCGCGAGGAGGCGAAAACATGCCCCGTATCCACGGGGTCGCGGCCAAGGGTCCTGGCCCGCGAAGCCGCGGATAAGGACACGTTTTCGCCCCCGATCTTGCTCTCTCTTCTTCCCTCACACCTCCTCTCGCTGCGAACAGCATCACGACAGGAATCTTCTTACCATTTTCGGCATCCAGGCGCCCTCCCCGGGCCCCGGGACCGTCAAACAACGGCCCTGGATGAGCAGCCGGTCCCAGGGAATGGGTCTGTAGATCTCAGGGGGCCGGGGGCGTGGAACAAAACGAACAAAACCACGACCTCTGAATTGTAGGGGTGTCAAGAGCGTTTTGCTCTCTCCTCCTCCGCCACAGCAGCCAGGCGACGATGGGTGCACGGCGCGCCCGCGAGCTCCGCGCGTCGTTGCGGCGATGGTGCCCCGCAGCGCGAGGCGACGGACCGCCAGCACACTGGACGGGGCTCCCAAAACGGTGAAGTGGCAGACCGCGCGGTGGTTTCGACATCCCACGAGACCTCACCGCACGGTCCGTCACCGCACGGTTCGGGGATAGCGGCGTTACCAGTGGATGCCAAAGTGCTGGTGTGCTACGTTTGGCCTAACCTAACTTCTAAACGGTGTACAAATGCCCTGGATTCTTTTAAACGGGCTAGCGATTCTGACTATGGGGGTTCCTCTCACTTAGCGGAACTATGTTAAAACACCCTAAGCCACCAGTGGCACTTGTAACCCGCTTATCAGCAATTCTCGGCCTGAGCAAACCTCCTTGGCATCTACTGATGCACCCCCCATCCCCCTGGCCTCCCTGCGCCCATTCCAGTTGGTCGCCCGACGTCCTTGGAGGGCGATCCAAGCCCCAAAACCGTGCGGTTGGGAGGTCCAAGCAATTGAGCCAGGGGATACCGAGGACACACCCTGGTCGCGGACTGGCCGGCGAAGCGACCCCCCCACACACAATCCGAGCCGATGGAGGTCGCCCAATGGGGTCAAAGTAGACGGGATCGAAGGTTCGCGCTGCATTGCCGATGATTCGCAATGTAATCGGCGACATCGGCGACGCCGGCGTGGAGAAAATCGAGCGCCACATTGGACCGCATCGCCGATGCATCAGGCGATGCGGCTCAATCTAACAAACCTACCTACCAAGAGCTCCGACGTCGTGATATTTGTCACAACGTGGGCCCCACTTCCCCAGCATCCGGTTTCATACCGTATCCTCGGAGAGCTGTGATTGTGGCGCGATAGATGTAAACAGGGGGATCAACGAGGTGGCGGTGCTGGGGGCCTATGCGCAGAGCGCTGCGCAATTCCAAAGGAATTGATGCCTCAGGGTGGTTGTGCGTGGGTTATTCTGAAACGGCCGAGCGCGTGAGTCCACACGGTCACAGAGGTCGGGCAAGGAAGAGGATACACCCCCGTGCTGGCACGCGTGGGCGTGTCCTCGCAGAGCCCTGATAGCGGCGCGATAGCGGTTGAAACGGGGTGGATGAGGTGACGATGGTGCCCCTTTTTACGAGTGGTGGTGCCGGGGGCCCTATACACAAGGCGCTTGTCACTCCCAAGAACTCGATGTACTATTTTTGCGATGGGAATGAGTCACCAGTAAAACAAAGGTGGAGCAGCAGGGCCGCAACGTCGCGGACGCGAGGGCGGCCGCAGCGGCTGGCGACGCCGCGCCGCCTGCTGAAGTCGGCGCCGGGAGCGCTGGGGACAGCGGCACCGCTGCCGAGGACGACGTCGGCGCGGTGGAGCCGAAGGTCTGGTACTTCACCGTCCCGCTGGAGCGGAAGACGGCCGAGGAGTGCATCAGGGCGCCTGATGCCGTTGTGGCGGCGGTCGGGCTCGAGTTCCAGGGGCAGGCGGTCGTTCGCATCCACGCGGATCGTGCCCCCGAGCTCTCAGGACCGCGCGTGCGAGGCCACTTCGCCACGAAGCAGATCGTGGTCACCAGGACGCCGGGCTTCGAGCCCAACAATAATCCTCGCGCGGAGCGTGGCATCGGCGTCATCAAGGGTCGCGCGAGGGCAATGCTGATGTGCTTCCCTGCCGCCGATCAGCAGCATCTCTGGCCAGCTGCCGTGCAGCATGCGAGCTGGTGCCAGCGGCGCTTGGCCATGGGGCGGGCGATTGACTGCCCAGCAGTTGGGGACCTCGTCACGGCCAGGATCAAGGATCCTCCCAAGGCGGGCTTCGCAGCGCGAGGCAAAGACATGATCTTCCTGGGCAAGGAGGACCATACCTCTGGCGGCTATTTGGTGGGCCGGAGGGTGCGGGGCGCAAGGAAGGGCGAGGAGTGGAGTTTCGAGGTGTCGAGCTCCTACGTGGTCGACGCTTCGGCCGCGCTCCAGGATCCCGCGCTGTGCGACGCCAGAGGCAGCGCCGACGGCGGAGGTCGCCCTGTTGCCGCCGCGGCGCCAGGAGGAGGCCAGGTGGAGGAAAAGGCAGAGGGTAGCAATCGGCCAGGATATCAGGAGGAGGCAGTGTACGCCAGGAGGAGGACAGGACGCCTGGATGAGGCAGCGGGGCCAGGAGAAGGGGAAGGTGACGGCATCTTCGAGGCGTTGTCCGAGGAGCGGATCTTTTCGTGCCCAGCGTGCCGGGGCCGCCATCGACCCCACACTCGGGACGAGCGGTGCCGCCTCGGAGCGCAGGCGGCGGCGGCGGTGCTGGCGTCGAGGAGCCAGGAGGAGGCGAATGCGGAGCAGGAGGAGGAAGAGTCCGGGTCCCCAGTCTTCCAGCAGGTGTTTAAGGAAAGAGAGTGGCTTTGCTCCCGCGACGGTTCGCGAGGTCGACCAGAGCTTCGGAGCTGAGCGGGAGGCCTGGCGAAAGGCCCTGGGCGGTGAGCTCGAGTCTCTCCGAGGGAAGGATGCCTTCGAGGATCTATGCGCCGCGGAGGTGGCGTCGACGCCAGCCCGAAAGATCCTGCCCATGAAGATGGTGCTCGGCACGAAGCCTCGAAGCGAGGCAGATGGCGGCGGCCGCAAGCATAATGCCCGCGGCTGCATCTGTGGCAACTTCCAGCCGCAGGTCCCTGGCGAGGAGACGTTCAGCGCGTCGGTGGACATTGCCAGCTTGCGACTCGTGTTGGCCGTCGCCGCAGCGAACCAGTGGGCATGCTCTGTCCTGGACGTGGCCACGGCGTTCTTGAACGCGGAGCTGCCGCCAGAGACTGGGGAGGTCATCGTCCGACCTCCAGCCATCCTCACCCGCTTCGGGTTGGTGAAGGCGGGGGTCCTGTGGCGCGTGAAGCAGGCCATGTATGGTCTGCGCGTCGCGCCGCGCGCGTGGGGGGAGAAACGTGACCGCACCCTGCGCGAGAAGGTCCTCATGGTCGAGGGTGAGCGCTGCCGGCTTCGGCAATCACAGGTTGACCAATGTTTGTGGGCGATCGTGAAAGAGCAGGACCGCGTGCTGGGCTACGTGTGCGTCTACGTCGACGATTTCCTGATGGTGGGGGAAACCGCTGCCATCAGAGCAGTTTCCGACATGTTGGAGTCGACGTGGACCTGTTCAGTGCAGTCGTTGATCTCTCCTGCGCACTCTGGCAGCATCAAATACTTGTCTCTTTCGATTCAGTCACGCGCTGACGGGTACTACATCCACCAGCAGGAGTACTTGGAGGAGTTGCTGGCCAAGTGGGGCCTCGATCGTGGCAACGGCGTGGGCACGATCGTAATCGACCCCCTGCCTGAGCAGCCCGCCGACGCGGACGAGCAGGAGGCGGTCGACATAGGGCAGGTCCGTCTCGCACAGAGGATGTCTGGCGGACTCCTGTGGCTTTCGGGCCGCACGCGCCCCGACGTGGCGTTCGCAGTGTCTCGATTATCTTCGGCCGCCGCACTTAACCCAGAGTGGGCCCTCACGCTGGGAAAGAAGATCTTGAGGTACCTGGCTGGGACTCGGCACTACGGTTTGGCCTATCAGTGCAGTGGGGGCTTGGCATTGCACGTCTACGCCGACGCATCCTTCGAGCCATCCACGGCCCAGACGGGCATAGCCGTCTACTTGGGACAGCGTCTAGTGGATTGGAGGTCATGCAAACAACCGCAGCCAGCGAGATCCACAGCAGAGGCGGAGGTGACGGGACTTGCTTTGGGAGGCGTGGTGCTGGAAGGCGTTGAAGCCGTGCTCAGCAGCATGTTCATCAAGGCGGAGAGCCCGGAGATGTTTGGAGACAATCAGGCCTCGCTCCACATTTTTAGGGGCCAAGGGTCGTGGCGGACGAGGTGTTTGGCGAACCGTGCTGCAGCCCGGAGGGCCAGGATTGAGGCTGGGCTGCTCGTTTTGGGGCACGTGGCGTCGGCTGAGCAGAAGGCCGACGGATTGACCAAGACGTTCTCGGTGCCCATGATGGGGCAGGTTCACCGTGCATTGAGCCTGATTGACCTCCATCTCCCGCAAGTTTCTCCCGCGCCAGTTTCTTGAGCATCGACCTGATGCTTGGCATTCAAATGAGCATGCGTGGATGCCACCAGGGACTTGTTGGGGATTTTCCTTTTGAACTGTTTGGGGTCCCTGCCTCACCCGTTCCTCCAAGGCTGGAGGCTTAGCTCCCTTGCGGCAGTCGATTTGACACCGTCGCCGCGGGAGAGGAGGAGCGTGGAAGAACAGGCTCGGCAGAGCCGAAATTCGTTACATGTTCGTTGCCATGTTCTGCGGTGCGGGTGGCGTAGCCTAGCACGGCATAGAACAAGAATCCCTCTTTCTGGTGTGCAAGTGTGACCTTGGGAAATAATTGTCCGACCAATCAGGTCGGTTCCCAAGTTGTCCGTTTCGACCCCGGGGTTTATTTGGTACCGGCCCATGCATTCATTTTCAGCCACGTTCGTAGGACACCCTGCGGGCGGATACAGATTCAAGGCGTGAAACGCGGATAGACCGGTACGGCCAGCCAAACAATATGTTCCCAGAGAGCTGTCCGGGAACATAATAATTTAGTCGTTTAGGGCACTGCGGCCAGTGTCATCGTGCAGGCGCGGAGGCGTGTAGCAATGCCACCTCCGCGCAGGCACGACCTGAGGTGTGTAGCCAAGCCACCTCTGGTGCTGGGGGTGCGTAGCAATGCCGCCCCCAGCCATAGGACAGTTTCTGTCTGGAACTGTTTTGGCTCAAGGCCTATTCGGTGCGATGGGCAAGAAGAAATGAAGTGACTCCCACAAGCCTGCCACCCAACAGCTCCGACAATTCAAACGAATCCTAGTATCAACTAATACTTTACTTTGTGAGCGTCTTGGGATGGAGCCCAAGGAGGTCCTCAAGGAACCCCTCCCCATCAGCAGGGAGGACACGATACGTCTGCTGTCCGACATCGCCGACGGCAGATTGGTGATCCCAGAGCCCCAGTAGAACCAGCAGTGATGGAGCCCATCAGGGACACGTGCGCGGGGCCTCTCGAGAGCAGAGCCCTGCAAAGGGGGAGGGAGGGGGAAAGGAGAGAGGGGGGGCGGGGGGACAGGAGAGGGGGGGGGACAGGAGAGAGGAGAGAGGGTGAGGGGGGGGGGCGGGATCATCAACATCATCATCATCATCACATCATCATCATCATCATCATCATCATCATCATCATCATCATCATCATCATCCATCATCATCATCATCATCATCATCATCATCATCATCATCATCATCATCATCATCATCATCATCATCATCATCATCATCATCATCATCATCATCATCATCATCATCATCATCATCATCATCATCATCATCATCATCATCATCATCATCATCCGGAGCGCCCCGGATCGGCGGCACTGGCCGGAGGCCACTACAATAACAATGAGGATGAGGAGGAGGAGGAGAAGGAGGAGGAGGAGGGGGAGGTCCCGTGCGCTTGCCTATCCACCTCAGCGCGGGCCTGACCGCCCAGGATTTGGAGCACTCCTTCGTGCCGGCTCTCGCGACGTTGGCGATCGCCAGGCGCGCACCGGTGCCAGGAGCGGCCTATCCCAAACAAGGACCGTCGGCACGAGACACAGGCGCTGCAAGCCTGCCGCCCCTCTCGCCCCCGTGAGCGGCGCCGCGTTCGACCGTCTCCCAGCGCGTTGGTGCTACCCGAGGTGCCCTCGCCTCCGAGGGGGAGGGGACGAGTGGCACTCGCCGAGTGCAGAAGAGTCCAGCCTCGCTTCCTGTCGAGAGTCCCTAAGAGACAACGTTCGGTATCGCGCCAGGGCGGAGAGGGAGGGGGACGGGCGGGGAGCAGGGTCGGAGGAAAGAGCAAAAGGACGGCCGTTCCTGGAAGAGGATCACCCCCTAAAACCAAGCCAAGACGAGAATAGCATCGGGTGAGGATGCATCGAGAATCTCTGATATCCAGCGGCTCTGGAGGATGTCTCGGGCACCGCGGTCTTCTCAAAGCGTTCTGGAACGCTCTGGGCGCGTTCTGGAACGCTCTGGAACGGATTGATCCTCTCGTTGCGAAAGAAGCGCGCGGGCCGTTTTGGTAAGTCTTCTGCCTCCGGGGGCCATCGCCAGGCCCCAAGAAACCAACCGAGAAGAAGAACCTGGTCTCGGGGAGGAGGTCCAGACCTCTGGGTGTCGACGTTGAATAAAAAGTCGCGACGTCGGAGATCTGGGCAGCAGCGGCAGGCAGAGGTGGCAATGGCGGCAGAGCAAGGCTGGCAGTCCTGTGCGTCGGGGACTGGGTCGTACCCAGGAACGTCTGCACCACCTGGGCTGGGCCGCGTCGCTTCGCAGGGCCACATGGTCGCCATGCTCGCCAGCCAGGGTCTCCCCACTGAAAGGAAGAGAGGTGCTCCAGCCCATGCCTCACTTAGCAGGCCCCTCTTGGTTTCTCCTCGTGCTGCGCTGGGTGGGGGCTGCATGCTCTGAATGTCCTTGCAGCACCACGCCCAGACCCCTCAGCTCTATTCGGGCCCCCTGGAGAACCAACACGCCAGAGTGCTCGAGGGAGGCCATCCGAAGAGAACCTTCGCTCCACCGCGCCATTGCTGGATGAGGAAACAAATGGCGCAAACAAAATCTATCACAGGACCGCGCGGGCTATCTTGGATCGGCGCTGGACTGCTCTCTCCTGGTGCGCGGAGTGCGCCAGTAGCCGCGCCAGAGGCGCCGCCAGGGGGGGGCCACCGCCGATTCAAGAAGTCCACGCGGACATCCGAGAAGTTAAATGTGTGTTTTGAGCAGTGACCGACCGTCCCAGCATTCCTTAAGGCCTACCACGACATGTTCTCAGAACCCAAAAATGCTTTTGTAACAAAAGCAATGTTCTTAGAACAGACGCCCGATGTGTTTAAACAAATCAATATCCGCCAGACATGTCCTACACACATCTCGTGCAAACCTCAAGCGGTTCTTAGATGCTTGGAGATTTGTTGTTCTTCGAGGTTCCCCTCCCGTCCCTTCTTCTTCTTCTCCCTCCATACCTCGCCTCTCCTACTTGAGCGTGCACAACACGGGCCCCGAGGGAAACGGGTCCTGGAACCCGGGGCCTTCCCCTGGGACCAGATCTTTCACACGAATCGTTTTTGTTGACGGTCCTCGTGGAGGGCCCCGAGAGACAAACAACTTATAAAAAAACCTCAAGACCCGCTTCCCCCAGAACCTGCTCCTCACGATCCGCCGCATTGATCTGTTTCCACACGCGGCCCCAAGTCCCGACCCTCTGCCCCGGGCCGGCTTTTTGTTCCGAGCCGTTCTTGTTGAAGACCTCCGGCGAAGGATGGCCGATTGGGGGTCGATGCGGGCCCCCCCCGAGCCTATACCCTATACTCCCTGGTGGTTTTCGGGTCATCGCTCGGGTGTTTGGCAGCCGTTTAGGACGGTTCGGCACCCCCGTGACGTTCTCGGCGAAGCGCAGCCGCATCAAGGTATCCTGAGGCTGGGAAGTCGTCGAGAGCCGACGGAAGCGCCCTGAGTCCTGAGTCAATTTCTCGCTGAGGTTTTCGTTCCGGCGAAGGCCCCCGGAGGCTGAATTCTCCAATGCGTTGGAGGTCGGGGCTTCCTTCCTGACGACCTCCCCCGCGCCCGGCGTTGGGAGCGGCCAAGAGGGGGGTGTTCAAGAGGGGGGGGTGCAAATCATGACCGGCGGCATGTGCGCGGCCCAGCGGGGGGGCCAGGGACGTAAAGAAATAAGAAGAGGCGCCATGAGATCTGGGGAAATATCATGGCCCACGCCATGATATCCACCCCCCCCTAGTCATCACCCCCCTCTTTTCCGCCCCCGACGGCGGCAGAGGCGGCGACTGCGCCGGGCACTGGCAGCGGCGGTGGCAGCAACAGCCAGGGCAGGATCAGTCAAGATCGAATCGGCAAGGCGGATCGAACCGAAATGTGCATCGCATCGGGCCGCTTCAGCACGGTATCGAAATCGAAGCGGATTGGTTGCCCCAGGATGCACCACAACAACGCAATGCAAACCTCGGGGCCGCCTCAGATCGCTGGATCATTAGAAGCAGAAATAACGACATAAGTTCCGTGCGGATTTCTTGGATCCGCTCTGAACCCCCCTCTGTGGCCATGGCTCGCGCAGCGCGCCAGGGACGGCGCCGGAGGCGCCGCCGGGGCCAGCGCGGATCCAAGAACTCTGGGCGGACCGTCGAAAGTTTATGCGTATGTCTGTATGTTTTGTTCCTTCGAAGCACCGAGTCGGATCGAATGACCGACACTTCCTTCTTCTTGCTCCTCCGCTGGTGGGCGCGGACAGAGCCTCCGGTGACGGGAGAGCGCAGGGCGGGCTGCACGCGAACGCGACCCAGGCCACGTGCCTCGAGAAGGCTAAGCCCAGGTCGGGCATGCCCTCCTGCAGGTCGGATCGAATGGCCGACACTGGCCTCGAGTATCGGATCGCAGGTGGGCCCTGCCGGGAGGGGGCGGCGCCTCCTCGTCGGGGCGGGCCGCGTCGCCCTCCGCGCCTGGGGCGCCGGGCGGCTGCTCCAGGCTGCGCAGCGCGAACTCCACGGATCGAACGTCCAGGTTCCTCGGGCCGAGCCCTCGACGCTTCCTCTGTCTCGGGCCCCTCTCCATCCCCTTATTCCTCTTCCTAATTTTTAGAAGCCCGGGCAGGGGGACCCCTCCCCCCGCCCAAAACCGGACTCCCGGGATCTGGGGCTTTGGGACCCTCCGGATGGGCCTCGGAGCGGCCCCCCGGGCCTCGCAGGGCGTTTTGCCAAGCCTTCCCAGCACTCCTAGGGCGATCAGGGGGGTCATCGGAGAAGTCCCAGAGACCCCCACGACAGCACAAGAGCGCTTCAAGAGTGACCGACGTGACCTCAAGATGGCCCAAGAGGCCTCCAGGACTGCCCCAAAGGCCTCAAAAAGCCTCCAAGAGCACGCCCAAGAAGGCCCCAAGAGGCGAAAATCATTGATTTTCTGCGGGTTTTTGGTGAATTTTGGGGTTCTCCTATTTTCGGCTTCTCGACGCTCCAATACGGCAGTCTCCTGGGCGTCCGAAGCCGCCTGGGAGGCTCCCAAATCGCCCCACAACCATCCGAAAGGGCTTCCAGGCAGTCCAAAAAAGCCTCCAAACGGGACAACAGGGGTCAAAGATGGCCCTAAGAGAGCCCCATGGCGGCCCAAAACGGCTCCAAAACACCCTCCGAAGCATTCCAAATCGTGACCCAGTCGTTCAGGGAGACCGCGGTTGGAGGCAGGGTGGCCCGAGGAAGCCCCCAGAACCTCCAGAACACGCCCAGGAGGCCTCCAGAAGGCCTTAAGAAAGCCTGAAACTTTTGTGAGGTCCCCAGAGGCTCTCCAAGGAGGAGCCTCCA